TGTGTCTGTTGGCCGTTTGGATTTCCTCTTTTTTTAAAAAACGTCTATTTAGGTCCTTGGCCCATCTCTTAAGTGGGTTGTTTTTTTGTTGTTGTGGAATTCTTGATCTCTTTGTAGCTCTTCATTTTGCTGATCTTTTGTAATGATTTTTTGGGTTCAATTTCGTTGATTTCTTCTCTAACTTATTTCTTTTCTCCTAGTTTTGGGTTTGGTTTGCTGTAGTCTTTCTAGATCCTTAAGATGCACTAATAGCTCATTTATTTGGTGCCTTTCCAATTTCTTGATGTATGCACCAGTTGCTATAAACTTTCTTCTTAACAATTCTTTTGCTGTATCCCATAAGTTTTGATATATTGTGTTGTTATCTTCAATTGCTCCCAGAAATCTTTTGATTTTTCTTTTGATTTCTCCTTGACCCACTGTTCATTCAGGAGCATGTTGTTCAATCTCCATGTGTTTGCATATGTTCTAGAGATTCCTGAGTTGCTGATTTCCAGCTTCAAGATGCATGGTATGATTTCGACTTTTTTGAATTTGCTGAGACTTGCTTTATGGTCTAGCATGTGGTCATTCCTAGAGAAAGTTCCATGCACTGCTGAGAAGAATGTGTATTCTTCAAGTGTAGGATGAAAAGTGCTATAGATATCTGTTAGGTCCACTTGGTCTATAGTGTCGATTAAATCTGTTTTCTTGTTGATTTTCTGGCTGGTTGATTTGTCCATTGCTGAAAGTGGAGTGGAAGTCCCCTAATACTACTGTATTGGAGTCTAAGTCTACCTTTAAATCCCTTAATATTTCTTTTAAATAATCAGGTGCCCTATAATTAGGTGCATATGTTTATAATAGTTACATCTTCCTGTTGAATAGATCCCTTAATCATTATATAGTGCCCCTCTTTGTCTCTTTTAACAGATTTTGTGTTAAAGTTTATTTTGTCTGATATTAAGATGGCTACGCCAGCTCTTTTTGTTTTCTGTTGGCATGGATTATCTTTTTGCAGCCTTTCACTTTCAGTCTGTTTGCACCTTTGTTGGAAAGATGTACTTCTTGTAAATAGATGGGCTTTGTTTTTTTAATCCATTCAGCCAGTTTGTGCCTTTTAACTGGAGAGTTGAGGCCATTTACATTCAATGTGACTAATGATAAGTAATGACTTGACCTGGTACTGTGGTGCAGCAGAGTTAATGCCCCGGCCTGAAGCTCTGGCATCCCATATGGGTGCTGGTTTGAGACTTGGCTGCTCCACTTCCGATCCAGCTCTCTGCTATGGCCTGGGAAAGCAGTAGAGGATGGCCCAAGTCCTTGGGCCTCTGCACCTGCGTGGGAGACCCAGAAGAAGCTCTCGGCTCCTGGCTTCGTTTCGGCGCAGCTCCAGCTATTGCAGCCGATTGGGGAGTGAACTATCGGTTAGAAGACCTCCCTCCCTCCCTCCCTCTCTGTGCCTCTCCTCTCTCTGTGTAACTCTGACTTTCAAATAAATAAAGCTTTAAAAAGAAAAAAGATGAGTAATGACCTTGCCCTGCCATTTTTCCAAAGATATTCCTAATTTATACTTTGAACTTCCTGTGATCTTTTATGGAGAGATTTTCTTCCTTTACCTTCTTTCATATTGATGAACATGTTTGTTTTTGTGTGTAACACATCTTTAAGCATCTTTTGCAGGGCTGGACAAGTGGTGACAAATTCTTTCAATTTCTGTTTGCTATGAAAGGACTTTATTTCACCTTCATTCACAAATGAGAGCTTTGTAGGGTATAATATTCTGGGATGACAGTTTTTTTTTTCCTTAGTACTTGGGCTATATCTCACCATTCTCTCCTAGCCTGCAGGGTTTCTGACGAGAAGTCTCTTGTGAGTCTAATTGGAGAATCTCTGAACGTAATCTGGTGTTTCTTTTTTTCACATTTTAGAATATTCTCTTTATGTTTCACTGTGGTGAGTTTTATTACAGTGTGTCATGGCAAGGATCTTTTCTGGTCATGTCTATTGAGAGTTCTATGTGCTTCCTGTACTTGGACATCTCTTTCTCCAAACCCGGGAAGTTTTCTGCTACTATTTCACTAAAAAGGCCTTCTTTCCTTTCTCTCTCTCCATGCCTTCAGGAACTCCTAGAACCCGAATGTTGGGTTTTTTAATAGTATCCTGTAGATTCTCAACAATATTTTTTAGATTTCTAATTTCCTCTTCTTGTCTTTGGTTTGACTGTATACTTTCCTGTGCTGTCTTCTAAGTCAGGGATTCTCTTCTGCCTCACTGATTCTGTTTTCAAGGCTCTCAACTGCATTTTTTATGTTCTATTGAATTCATTTCCTTTTGATTCCTCTTTAAGATTTCAATTTCATGGGAGAGGTTTTCTTTCATGTCCTGCATGGATTTCAGTAGTTGGTTTGTTTGCTTTTGATGACTTCTATATCATCTGATCAATTTTTGAGTTTGATTTCTTGCATTTCTTCTATCTCATCGTATTCATAATCTAGTTTTGAAGGGTCATGTTCTTTTGGGAGTGTCATGTTATCTTCTTTATTCTTGTTTCTTGGAATGTTGCGGTTCTTGTTCTGCATTTGTGGAGATAATCATTGGTTCTCCCCCACACCCCCGCTGTGGTGGCTTTTATTGTTATACTATGACTCTGTCGATGAATGGAATGTCTGCATTCAGTGAATCTCTAGAGGCTTGTAGTGGGTGTGGCCAGAAAGCTCTGTTCAGTTCTCCAGGGTTAAGGGCGTGCCTAAGGTGACACATCCAGGTTTGGTGTGGTAAATCTTCTCTCTTTTTTAATCAGAAGGGAAGCGTATTCTGCTCAGCTGAGGTCTTCTCAATGGAGACCAGGGCCAGAGTGCTAGCCCCAGTGGGTATAATATTCTTCTGCTCTGTCCCAAGAACCACACAAAGGATCTGTGCAGTTCTCGGTGTAAGTTCAGATTCCCCAGCAATGCCTCTCACCAGGTAACCAGGGCCACCCAAGCTTATGGCGTCTCTCACTGAGACTACCCAAAGTCCCATCCACACCATGAGTTCTCCCACACACCCTCAGTTTCTTTCTTTTTTTTTTTTTTTCACAGTCCGGGTTCAGAATCTTCACACAGTCACAAGCTCCTATTCTCCTGTTATTTCTCCCCACCAGAGTCAGGAGTCTCCACTTGGCTGATCATGGGGCACAGACACGAGCTGGCACAGCTGTTGTGTATGTCCAATATGGCACCCGCTCTATTGGCTTGTACGCCTTTGTAAAGTGATTGGAGACAGAGAAATGTGTCCATACCATCCCCCCCCTTTTTTTTCTCTATCCTTTAGTTAGGCTGGTGCACTTTCCCCCATGGGGCTTCAAGCCTTGTTCCCTCTAGGCTCTTCCTGCTGCTTTTTTTTTCTGCCAGTGGCCCGGGATACTGCAGTCTCGTCTCACCTCACTGTCTAGCGCTGGTGTATAGGCTCTTGGCTGCTGGAGTCCCGCGCCGTGGGCACCATGCCCTCCATGTAGGTCCACTGTGTCCCTCTAATTTCAGTAGTTTCCTCTGCCATTTTTTTCCCTAACTCTTCCCTGAGACTACTCTACCTCCACTTTTTTAAAACTATGCTTTCCTGTGCTAGAACAGTAAGCTCCCTCTCTACTCCACTATCAACCTAAGTGGGTGCCCAGCCCCCTGTCAACCCTCACAGCTGGACTCATTGGGAAACGTGGATTTCTCCTTGTGACAGAATCCCCTGGTCACAGGGGTGAGAGCTACCTCAGCCTCTCCTGGTATCAAGATAGTACTTTCTCCCTGCTGGTTGCTGGGCATCCTTTTTGGCGGATGGAGAGAAAACGTGCTTTTTCTCTGCTGGAATAGGTGGGTACCTGCACCCCACTAGGGCTCCAGGCTGGCCTCAAATTCAGTGTGGTCTGCCAGGATCTCCCTCATTCAGTGGCACAGGCCACCACAGTCTGCCCTTACCTACCTCTCAGTAAGTGGTGTCCCTTCCAACCCCCTGCTGGGGGAGTCCTGTGTGTCGACTCTTTCCATGCTGCTCCACGGGTTCCTATTTCTGTATAATTTCGATGGCAAACTTCCCTACTACTCTTCCCCTGGGAACGCACTTCCTCTGCTCTTTTTCTGCTATCTTCCCCTCATCAAAATCAGCACGTCTTTTCCCTATTCAGCCATCTTGGAATCTCCCAATTTGCATCTTTTAAAAGTCTCATTTCAATGAGACTTCTCAGGGTCAGACTCCGTCTTCAACATCTTCTTGCAGAATTATTTTCTATATACTTTGCTTAGCTCCTAGAAAAGTGGCCCTGAACTTTATACCAGCTGAGAGCAGAGTTACTTTTAATCCTAGGCTCCAATCTAGTGCTATAATATCCATGCATCAGTGAGAGTAAAGCATGGTACAAGCCAAGTGAATATATGGCACGCTGCAGTCTCAGGACTAGGTGGGAATGGGCCGATGTCATAGTTAGTTCTCATTATTCACAAACACCAGGGTAGTAGGTATTGCACCATGGCTCCCTGGAGAAATACAGGATTAGGTTTATCTAAGCCTCTGTTCACAACACTTTCCTTAGCTGCTGCATATGTAACCATGTGTGTTTAAAGACGCTTTGCTTAATAGATGCTGATTGGCTAATACTTAACTCGTGGCCAATAGCACTGTAACTGCAATCTGAGAGAAGATGATTCAGTGCTCCATGTGGCACATCCCAGTCATCTTGGGTTTAGAAGCACTAGATGACACTTAAAATCACCAAGGATAAAGGCCCCAAATGTGAAATCCACGGCACTGGGCACACCATGAAAAGGTGACTGGGCTATAGGATAAGAGCTGAAACAAGAAGCGGCATGGCACCTTGTATGGTCTCAGTGGGGAACGTGGGTGTGGCCCCGGTGTTTGCCACCCTGTGCCTGCCTGCAAATGACTGAGAGCACCGCCAGTATTGCTTTGGGTTACAAGTACATTTCAGTGAGTAGGAGGAGGCACAAACAAGGAATTTGCAGGTGATGGGCGTGACTGTATTTTCCTACCTTTCCGGGGCATGTGCAGTACAGGCCAAAGGCTTCTCGCCTGGGTCAACCCACGGCTGTGTGGGCTGCACCGTACAAGGGATCAGGTAGATGGTGTATTCCCCCGAGTAGTCCTTCCTGGAAAGAGAAGAGCAGACTATGGGCATAGGGAAGGGCTGGTAGATTATTAACTTACCTGAAAAGCTGTCATTAAACAGACTTCACACTGCTTTGGTGCCTGGCATCCAAGAATTTGTCAAACCTATAAATGGCATTTTCAGGAACTCCTCTCTGTAGTCAGATGCTGTACCCCTGAGCTATACCCCTGCAAGGGACTCCTCTCTGATCCAGAGGTGTTAAATAGTACTGGTCTCCTTCACCCAACTCTGCTGAGAAAGGCATGCTATTGCTAAAACTCTGAAAATTTCAGATGATGACAAAACAGAATTGGCTGTTTCCTTTAGACACCAAGAAACTTGTTTAGTAATTTGGGTTTAGTGTTTCTTGTTGATGCCCTGTTCCACTTTCCCTGATGCAAAAGCTTTTATTTACTAAGATATGACGGTGCCAGGTGTTCCTCTGAAAAGAAGAGTTGGCCAGTACCCAGGACTCCACTGCAGAAGAGAATGGAAGCAGTGGCCCACAGAGCACCCCCAGCCCATTGCATTTGTATTTGGCTCTACAGCCGTACTCTTGTGTGACATTGCAGAACAATACCCCCTCTCACTGGAGGTGATATCTCCCTGTTCGTGGTGGGACCCAGGCTTCTCCAGGTCATGACACTGAAAGCGTGAGGCCTGTGTGCCCCTCACCTGCATCATTTCATATGCTTGCCATGGAGTAGCAGCTCTGGCCCTGAGGTAAACGAACATCCAGAAACATCAGGAAGATTCTTCAACAGCTTTGGGAAACTGCCATCCATTGAAGGAGCATAGAGCTCGGGGCCCATGCCGTGGCTCACTCGGTTAATCCTCTGCCTGTGGCACTGGCATGCCATATGGGTACTGGTTCTATTCCCGGTTGCTCCTCTTCCAGGCCAGCTCTCTGCTGTGGCCCGGGAAGGCAGTGGAGGATGGCCCAGGTGCTTGGGCCCTGCACCCACATGGGAGACCAGGAAGAAGCACCTGGCTCCTGGCTTTGGATCGGTGCAGCGGTGGCTGTAGTGGCCACTGGGGGAGTGAACCAATGGGAGGAAGACCTTTCTCTCTCTCTCTCTCACTGTCTATAACTCTACCTTTCAAATTAAAAGAAAGAGCATAGAGCTATGGGTCTTAAGACTGTGAGTGATCTGTGGACGGTCTTTACTTTTGTTGGATTGGTTCTTTGGCCATTTTAAAAGTCATGTATCTACTTATTAGTAAAGGTAGAGTACAGATTTGGCCAAAGAAAATAACACTTATGTAACATACCCTGGGGGGCAACTTAGGGGACTGGCATAGGCTAGAAACCAGGAGGAAAATCCAACCCTGGCTTGGCTTTGCTGGTGCCATGGTATATGAGTTTAGATACACCACACAAACTCTCAGGGCCTTTGTTTACGCATGCAGAATTCAGATCAGGAAGGAGCTGAGAAAACTTGCCTGCATGAGCCCTTTGTTTCTCCAAATCCTGGCAGGAAATGAGACCTTGTACACCATATCTGAAGTACATGACATCAGACACATAACAGGTGAACAGTAACCCTTAACAGAAATACTTCACGGTCCATGTCAGACTCTTGGTTTCCAGACCTCAGGTCAGATAATGTGGCTTCTCTGCTCCAGCTTTGTAGGGGCTCCTGCTGCACCAGAGTAAGAGCCCTGTCCACTCAGTGCCTTACGAGACCTCACTGAGTGCTTCCACCCCCACTCCTCACTGCTTTGACCTGATCATCTGTGTCCCTCTTCCTGGCCTCACTTCCCTGCAGCCACAGGAACCACCTTGCATTTCTCCAGCATGCCAGGAACCCTGCCCCCAGATATCTGCCTAGCCAACTCCTTCAAGTCATTTTTGGTATGATTTATTTATTTGAAAGAGTTACAGAAAGAGACAGAGAGAAATCTTGCACCTGTTGGTTCATTTCCCAAATGGCTACAACACCCAGGTGAAAGCTAAGAGTTCCATCTGGGTTTGCCACATGGGTGGGGGAGCCCAAACACATGCTACTTTGCTAGGCCAATAGCAGGGAGCTTGAATGGAAATGGAGCAGCCGGCACATGAACTGGCACCCCTATGGGACACAGATGTCTGCTTTACCCAGTATGCCATGATGCGGGCCCCCTACTTCAAGGCTGTGTTCAGATGGGCCTTCCTCGTGTGCTCTCTTGCGAATATCTGAACTTAAAATAAACTCCTATTCCAGATTCCCTTGTTTTATGCGTTTTTCCATAGCACTTACCAGCTTCGGACATGTCATACTTATTAAGTTTACTGTGTCATACATTCTTACTTTGTTAAGTTACTGTATGTAAGTTTAGGAAATCTTTGCTTTCTGATATATTCTAAGCACCCAGGACCTTCTGTGACACACAGGAAACATTCAACAAATATTGGTTGCCCAGATGAATGCAGGGCAGGTTGCATATTCTCCTGAGCCCTCAGTCCTTTCTCCCATTGCTAAATACTAGTTGGGATAGTTTCTGCACTAAACCTGCAAATAGGCCCTATACAGACCTCGTGCAAAGTCATTAATCTTGTAGTCCCCTCTTGCCCTTTTACAAAGGCAAACATCTCGGGGCCGGCCCTGTGGCACAGTAGGCTAAGCTTCCACCTGTAATACCGGTATCCCTATAGGTGCTGGTTCTTGTCCTGCCTGCTTCTCTTACAATCCAGCTCTCTGCCTATGGCCTGGGAAAGCAGTGGAAGATGGCCCAAATGCTTGGGCCCCTGTACCCACGGGGGAGACCAGGATGAAGCTTCTGGCTCCTGGCTTTGGATTGGCCTGTCACCCACCTTTGCTGTCATTTGGGGAGTGAACCAGTGGATGGCAGACCCCTCTCTCTGTCGCTCTACCTCTGAAATCAATAAGTAAAATCTTAAAAAAAAATTGCCTATCACAAAATGAGTACAAGTTGCCCCAGTCCCCAGGAAAGCCTTGTGTAAATCCTCAGCCTCCAGGGGCTCTCAGTCCCTGCACAACTGCAGTCTGGGTGTTCTGATCCTCTCGGTACACTGAGCACAGGGCTTGGTGATGTCTGCCTTTGCTGTTTGTTTGTATTTGATCACCTGACCTCACAACCAGGCACTAAAACCTGGGATGCTGGTGACTTAAGCGGGGGTCAGACTTGCCTTCAACCCTGGGGATGCTCACAGCTTGGTGACACAATGGGAGCAGCCAACAGACCACAGATGATGAGCCATGTTCTGGTGGAAGCCGGGACAAGGTGGGGGGGGGAGGGCAGCAGCAGAGGGCTGCTGTCAGCTTGGGCAGCACTTGAGCTGGGTCTTGGGAGTTAGTTTGGTGGGCACGAAGAACAGGAAGGGCAGAGGGAAATGCAGAAGTCCTGAGGTACAGAGGGGCTGCTGGTGGCTGGAAGGCTGGATCTGGGAGGGTTGAACCTCGTGTCCTGCAAGGAGGTGTCAGCAGAGGACTTATGGGAGGACAATTTCTCTGCCTATAAATTGGGACAAAGTACATGAATCATCCTCCCTGAAGATGACTGTATGCTGACTTCAAAGGATTCGTTATACAATTAAAATATTTGCTACGTGAGAAAAATCTGTAATTAAGGAAGACTTTTTGAAGATGATGCTTACGATAACATGCCACTTCTTAACTGTGGAACTGGAAAAGGATTTTCTCATTAAAGGTCACTTTTAGTTTCACGATCTATTAAGTGGAGACAGTATTTATCCCCTTTTATAAACGGGATACTTTTCTATTTTCTGTGGTACGGGAGAGGAGTAAGTCTTGCTTGCATCACCAGGACTGGCACCTAGACCTAATAAATGAACTTCCTAGATTTTGTATTGCTGTGTAGTAGAGACAAAACGTCTTTATTCTAAGGTTTCAGGTGGACATGTTTCCCAGCGTCCCTCGAAGGTGGACTGCCACAAGACTGACTTTCCAGGGGGGTGTGAATGGAAGGCATGAATGAGACAGGAGGTGTGCAGCAAGCATGAGCACTTTTTGGTTCATGCACGAGAAGTTGACCTGATCTAGATTTATGGCTCTTTCTGCTTGCTGGAGGGTTGTTTCTATCTAACACAGAAATGCAGACTTCAAAGAAAACCCCCAGGTCCCAAGCTCCTGCAAGCAGCGGAAACTCGCCCTGGAGGCCTGGAGCAGGGTACTCACCTGTTGTAGGAGCTTGTGGCCCTCCAGAGCTGGTAGGGAGAATCAAAGGTCTGCGCACTCCACAGCAGCTGCAGGTCAAACTCAATTCCTCCCAGGTGGTCGGGAGTGAGGATGAAAGATTTCACATCCGGGAGAGTGTGGTGCTCCATCACAAACTGCCCTGTTTCAAGGGAGAACACACACTTGTTTGTGAGTTTTGTTGTACTTGTGACGACACCCCTCCAGATCCTACAGGCTGAATCTACCCTCTTCTGTTGAGCAGCTAAGGTGAGGCCCTGGCGCCCTAGCGTGAACACCACACTGGCTGGGGCAGCAAGGCAGGCATCGCAAGCCAGCCCATGAGCCTACTGAGGAGAGTCATGAAGGCCGTGTCTGTGTTTATGAACAGGATGAAGGGGCCGGCGCACACAAGGGGCAGGGAGCATGTTCACCACAATAGGGGTCTCCATATGACAATGAACATGGAACACACTTAGCTTTGTGTGTCGACCAACATGTTTCATGGAGGTAGAAAACTCTAATAGCTTATAAATAGAAGTATCAGCGTCCAATAAAAGAGGCCTTGGCAGAGTGGACAATGGTAGACAATACAAAGGTAAGGGCTACTCAATAAGATGTCCCCACTGTGTGACATGTAAAACCCACCTGTGGGGGGGTATTTTGGGTAAAATACAGCCGAGACGTAACACACAGCTTGATTAGATTGGCCTTCCTTTTATGAAAGCAGATATAAAATACAAAGAAATACACAAATGGAGAAGGCATTTGTGGGACAATAGAGAAAATGTAAATAGAGATTGGATATTGAGCCAGTGCTGACTCTCTGGGATGTGATAACGGCACTGTGAATGTGTGGGGAAACCTTAGGAGATGTCCACTCAAGTATTCAGAGCAGTGTCACATGAAGACTGCAGCTTGTTTGGAAATAGTGTGGCCAAAAAAAGGTATTGCAAAGATGGGAAAAGGCTAACATTTTGACCTTTTCATTGCTCCGTTCCTTCAACTTGTCTGTATATCTGAAATATATATATTTTTTTAAATAAAAAAGCAGCACCAACACTACCTCTGAACTTGGCATGGGTCTTGAATTCAATGACGAGACGACCATCTTCTCGAATATAGATTCTTATTATCTGCAGCCTCGCAGAGAGCACACTGTCCGTCTGGATTCCTGGGCAGGCAGCACACACAAAACGCCCAGGTCAAGGCACAAAGATGACCGCCCAGATAGTCACTATGTGAATGTTAGCCCAGGGACATCTTTAAGGAGAACCGGACATGGACTTGAATGTAACATCAGAGCACATTTATTCATGTGATAATTGACCCTAGAGGGACACTTGCCAATTAAGACAGCTCATTCCACTGGTCTCTTTAAAAAAAAAAAAAATTGCTCCACCGTCATGGACATAACCTACATATCTGTAACTGCTTAGTCCAAAGCTGAGAAAATAAAAATGGATCGTACAGCTCAACATCAAACTTTGTGATTATAGCACATCTCCTTCAGACTGTAGTTTCATTTTTCTTGCCAGGACACTTTTCAGGAGTTAATAAAGCCCTAAGTCCTGCTTGCTACCTTTGGTACCTGAACCACAGGAGCATTGCAGGGAAGCTTGTAGAAGGCCAGCTACACAGGCAGGACAGGAATGAGCTGTGGCTTTAATAAGACAATTGCAGCCCTGATCCCCAAAGAGGTAAGCATGGTCCCAGACCACAGGGGAGCCAAAGGAGGGAGATGCAAAGTTAACAAAACAAAGCTCCAGGAATTATTGACCCAGGATGGGAAGCTTCCTGAGGTTACCTTCCTCTGAGAAACAGAAAGCAAATCAATGATTAGCACTTGAGTCGCCTCACCGAGGACAGGGTGGAACTTTGAACACCAGACAGGAAGCCCAACTAAAGAATGCAGCGACATTTTAGTGTCTCTGCCTCAGAGACCGGGAGAATGGGAGCCGAAGAAAAGGGGAGAGAGAAAAACCAAAGAGCACACAGGCAGTGCGCCCCCTGGAGGGAGCGGAGGGCAGAGCCAGCGAATTCTGGATACCATTTCTGCAGGAGCAGGGTGGCAGGGGCTGTCGCCCAGTCATGCCTGGGAGCTCTTCTTGGAGAGGGCAGTACTTGGGGGAGGCTCATTTAAAAAATTCAGCCCTGCAGTCCCTGAGGTGCTGAAGGGTAAAATCCTTTCTCCTGAGCCTGCAACCAAAGAGCAAACGATGGAGAGTGCGGGCTGCTGGACCTAAAACACATCACCAAGTGCTGTGGACACATCTTTGGATTTCCGCACTGCTAAAGCGAAGGCCTGTTTGCTTCTCCAACACAAAGCACAACGTAAGAGAGGAGAAACACCACTGTGTTCTAAAACCCGCCCTCCTGACAATGGCAGGCAGTCTGGGACCCATCTGTGACTTGCTGTCCCCTGCTCTGGGCCCCTGGCTGTCTGTGCTGAGGCATTCCAGCTTCAGCAGGTAGGGACGTCATTGGTTTTCAGGAACCACAGATTTGCACCTGTGCCAGGCATGGGCGGCCCTCCAGGACCATCGGATGAGGAGTGCCGCTGCTGTAAATCACTAGTGTTTTTCTTTCACTCGTGCTCGGGTATAAGGAAGGAGGAGGTTAGGATGTCAGTGGGTGTACCTGTTCTCCAGAGAACGGTGTCATAGAAGAAGGAAAACTCCATCTCGGTGTGGTGCTCCAAGGAGGCCCAGCCGCGGGGGGCGGTCACGTAGATGTAGGACACGTAGAGGGGCACATGCACGGTCAGGAAGGACTGAGCCGAGTCTCTCACCTGCCAAGCAAATGATGCACGGTGGTCATCTTCCTCGTGATGGAAAGGCAGACGGTCATCGCCTCTCGGCTCCAGCCTCATTCATGCATTCTGTCACTCACCCATTCACTGAGTCGGGTGCTCAGTTCTGTAGTTTGATTTCTGCAAAGGCTTTTCTATGGAGGTGATGCTCAAACAGAACCACCGAGGGTGAGAGTTAACGCGACCTCCAGTGTTCAGCTGCTGAAAGCTTTGGCCCACATTGTGACGTGGCACGGTAATTCCCAGGGGAACCAGTTGAGGCTTGGCGTGGGGGGGGGGGGTCTACCATTCAGTACATACTCCCACTGCTGACCACTGGCCAGTGACTTGTAGGAGCCTGAGCCAAGCCTGATGGGCACTGGGGAGCCCTGGGATGAACATGTGCCCAACTTGGGATGCTGTAGTGAGTATGCCTACCTCCCCCTGCAGGAACACAGGACACGGAAATCCTGTCTTGGAAGCTTACCAACAGACAGCTCAGAGCTACGTTAATGAGAGTACTTCAAGGTGTTTGTGGAGAACTGGGCTGGCTGCTTTGGTGCAAAAAAACATTTTTGAGGGGCCAGCCTTGTGCCAGTGCGTTAAGCTGCTTTTTCGAGATACCAGTATCCCATATTGGAGTGCTGGTTTGAGTCCAGACTGCTCTGTTTACACTCCACCTTCCTACTAATGCACCTGGGAAAACAGCAGAAGATGGCCCAAGTACTTTGGTCCCTGCAGCCCAAATGGGAGACCAGGATGGAGTTCCTGGCTCCTGGCTTGCATCCATTTGGAGAGTGAATCAGCAAATGGAAGATCTGAGATCTCAAATCTGTTCCTTTCTCTCTGTTACTCTGCATTCCAAATAAACAAATCTTTTCTTTTTAAGATTTATATATTTATTTAAAAGGCAGAGTTAGAGATGGAAGAGAGGTCTTCCATCTGCTGGTTCATTCTCCAAATGGCCAAAATAGCTGGAACTGGGTTTACCTGAAGCCAGGAGCCAGGACTTTCTTCCAGGTGTCCCATGTGGGTTCAGAGTCTCAAGGAATTCGGCCATTTTCTACTGCTTTCCTAGACCATAAGGAGGGAGCTGGATGGGAAGTGGAGCAGCCAGGATTTGAACTGGTGCCCATATGGGATGCCAGCACTGCAGGCGGCAGCTTTACCTACTATGCCATAATGCTGGCCACACAAATCTTTTTTACTATATGGAAAAATATTTTTGCACCAAAATAAACTCATACTTAAATTCTGTTGTTCTACAAACTTGTAGAAATATCTTCATATTTCAGTAATTTTCTGTCCCCATACACTGCTATTGGAAATAATTTCAACAAGGCAGCACCTCACACTTTGCAAGAGAATACTTGTAAGAGGGTTCCCATTACTGCTATTTATTTGGCTCATTAATTTTTGCAATTTTTGCAATGAGCTAAAACTGGATATAAAGATAACATTATACAAGCTTTCATAGTTAAGCTAACTATGTACATTTTGTGTGAGTAGGGGAGTTTTATTCATTTTTAATTTTTTCCTCCATAACTGTATATTTGTTTTATAATTGAAAAAGCTTCATTTAAAACCATTTTGTCATTGGCCAAATACTATAAGACTTAGATTTTTCTTTGATTTGAAAATACAGTGTAAAGTGTTTGTATCCATAATTATTTATATATATATAATAAAATGCTTTATCAATATTTAAGATATCAAAAATTTAAGTTATCTAAAGGATTCATATTCATTGTTGCCAGGGACATGAAGTTTGATGCCAATTTTTTCAAAAGACTAATAATTTCATTTAAAAATTCATTTGAAAATCTCTTATGGACATGCCTTATTCTGTTTCCTTTAGAAAATGTCCATATTCTGTCTGGGCCTCACACCATGTTCTGTCCCCCAAGGCATAGTTTTTTGTCAATATGCCTGCTCCAGTGTCACAATGGTTGATAGAGCCACAATATTCTGTAGTTACTGGAACAGTTAAGCTTCTTTATTTCTTTTTTTTCATTTAGCACTCATGATGTGACTTAATAAAACTAAAACAGATGTGACTTAAAACAGAAGCCCTTAAAAATATTTACTTCATATCTTTTTATACCAGATATTGTGCTAGGTGCCTTCCGACATTGAGATCATGACAGTCTCAGATGAGGTTCAGAGAGCTTATGCCCTAATTATGTCCTACCTTTATCAACTATGTTGATAATGGCCACAGAAGGTGGGAGCTAGACCTTCTTTCTCTGTCTAGTATTCTTTCTACCAGACAACGAGATATGTGTCTGTGTTGGTTTAAAAAAGGAGTATATGTAATAAGATATCTTTGCCTTTCAGATGTTCTAAACAAAAAGATCCAAAAATGTGATTGAAGCAAAATCATGATGACCAGAGAATACCAAATTTTGAGAGGCCAAGGGAGCAGTCAGTTTTGCATTTTGCATAGTGACTGTAAGCTATGCAACTGCAGAAGCAGAAACAAAACCAAATGCCTGAAGATCGATGCAGTAGAGGGCAGTAGTGTATACCAAATGGGGGAAACCAACATGAGCGACATCACAAAGAAAGCCAAGCAAATTTTCATCCAAGATACTTGCTTGTAACTGATGGCTCGAAGTCCCTCTACAAGTGTCTCAAATAGGGAGGTTAAATCTGGTCTGAAATGACAAGTAAACCTCTAACTAGGTTTTAGCTCGCTGAGGTAACTGCTCAAAATCCAAAAGAATTTGTTTTACAGCCGATTTTTCTGTGATGACAGATTAGTATAATCTCCTTGACCCTATATTTAACTGTCCTTCTATGACTGATTTCTTGTAAAATTTTACATTACCATTAATGTTTTATGGCTAGAAATATTTAAAAGTTTTTTTTTAAGGGTTACAACCTTTATTAAAAGTAAATGTAGTATAATATGTTACAGGGGCACATGGTGCCAATTTTATTTGCAGATACAGTATTCCAACTCAAGTTTATAAGTTACACCTTGGCCACAGCCTTGGCTAAGTCTTGAACCAGTGAAAGTTTTTTTTTTTAAATGATTTGTTGGGGCTGGCGCTGTGGTGTAGCGGGTAAAGCTGCTGCCTGCAGTAATGGCATCCTATATGGGCACTGGTTTGAGTCCTGGCTGCTCTTCTTCCAACCCAGCTCTCTGCTAATGACCTGGGAAAGCAGTAGAAGATGGCCCCTGCACCCACATGGGAGACCCAGAAGAAGCTCCTGGCTTTGGATTGGCACAGCTCTGGCCATTGCGGACATCTGGGGAGTAAACCGGTGGATGGAAGACCTCTCTCTCTCTCTCTCTGCCTCTCTGTAACTTTGCCTTCAAATAAATAAATAAATCTTTCAAAAAGTGATTTATTTATTTGAAAGGTAGAATAAGAGAGATAGACATATCTTATATCCTCTGGTTCACTCCCCAAAGGCTGCCACAGCTGGGACTAGTCCAGGTAGAAGCCAAGAGCCCAGAGCTCCATCCGGTCCTCCTATATGGGTGACAGGGCCTAGGCACTTGGACCATCTTCCACTACCTTCCCAGGCACATTAGCAGGGAGCTGGATCGGAAGCAGAGCAGCCAGAACTCAAATCCTGGTGTTGATACGGGATGCTGGTGTTAATAGCTCACTGCACCACAACACTGGCCCCTACAAGTATGTATTTTTAGAAGAGTTGTCAGTTTGGAACAGGTGTGAAATCCAAGTATTTTTGACAACTACCTATGGTGCATCACCAGCTGTCCTGAATTATTTCCCTGGGTTGGAAAGAGACCATTTCTATGTAATAATAACCTCAGCATCCAACATGAAACTTTTCTGCTTTCCAAACTACACACAGAAGATAAAACCTATGAGGGTACTTTAAAGAGTCTTTGAAAAATAGAATGAAGAGATAAATTTTGGTGCAAAAATTTTGAAATCCATATATCCATTTTCAGAAAATAATATGCACTTTCCATGAAATTGTTGAAGTCCTCCTATATATACCCAGGGGAAGGAAATGTTAAATATTTATACAAAAGACTGCACCAGATGGTCGCTATACCCACAATACCTTGATTTAGAGGATTTGGGGGACTCTACTGTGTTCAAAGGACTTAGATCCCCTTAGTTGGTGGACCTCATCTTCTACCTGCAAACTGGTAGCTGAAGTGCTCCAGGAACAAACAGGGGTGGGAGTAACACCCTCAGACAAGCCCCGGGAGCACCCACCTGAAAGTCAGCAGTCACAGAGCCCCCACAGACGTCAATCAACTCGGTCATGTCATAGTAGGCGTCAAAGGTCCACACGCAGCTCTTCAGGTTGAGGTGCTTGTAGAGCTGGATGGTCTTCAGCTCTCGCACGCTGGGGTCAAACTGGAAGGGGCGGTCATAGCCAGGACCCAGGGCGGTGCTGTCATAGGCCACGTCGTCCAGGAACCCTGCCTCTGCCAGGGAAGGAAGGGCAAGCAATGGTGACTCGGTCCGTGGATGCCCAGAAGCAGGGTGGGATGAACGGATGCATCCTAGTGATGTGGAGAGAGCTGTCCTCCATCTGAGACTCAGAGTAACCCAGGGCATGCAATGCATGCTGTGAATGGGAGAGGAGTTTGTGGAGTGCTTGTGAGCTGCCCCTGTTAATGTTAAATGCAGGCCGCTGCGGTGGGCATTGTGGCAACAAGGCTTGGGTGCTGGCATCCCATTTGCTCAAGCGCTGGTTCAAGTTCTGGCTGCCGTGCTTCTGATCCAGCTCCCTGCTAATGTGCCTGGGAAGTGGCCGATGATGGCTCAAGTACTTGGGCTCCTGCCACCCATGTGGGGACTGGGATGGAGTTCTTGGTTCCTGGCTTTGGCCTGGCTCAGCCCTGGCTGTTGTAGCCATTTGGGGAGTGAACCAGTGGATGGAAGACCTCTTTTTCCAATTGCTCCCATCCCTTCCCTCCTAACTCTTAATTAAATAAATCTTAGAAAAAACAAAGGAGGCCTCTACCTCTAAGAGACTGCAGGAACCTGGAGAGAAAAGGTAGACAAATGATTCCATGAAATCAGCAGAACTCGGAACCCACTGAAACTGCTTGTTGGACCTGGCAAGCCTGTCCTGGGCTTCATGGTCAGCCCCAAAGGAATGAACTAACTCTACACCCATTGATGAATTTTATTTTAAAAAAGACAAATTTATTATCTGATTCCCTCCTGTCCCTCCTATGGTTTTTGAATTCTTGCAAAAAAAAAAAAAAAGAGGCTTAATTTAGCATTAATGAGTAGATAGCTCACTAATGTGCTTCACTAAACCTCACCTGCTACAGGCAAAAATTATTGCATCAAATGCTGCCAAGCAAGTGAGCTGTTCTAAATTATGGAAGACCTTTCTGCAGGGGAGAGATGGGTACAGATGCATGTTTAAATGGCTAGGGTTCTAATTTTTTTTTTTAAGATTGATTGATTTGAAAGGCAGTGTGAGAAGGAAAGACAGGGAGCAAGGTCTTCTGTCTGCTGGTACATCCCCCAAATGACTGCAGTGACCAGGCTGGGGCAGGCTGAAGCCAGGAACCAGGAGCTGCTTCTTGGTCTCCCAAGTGGGTGAGGGGCTCAAGGACTTGGGCCATCTTTGCTTGCTTTCCCAGGTGTATCAGCAGGGAGCTTGATGGGAAGTGGAGTAGCCAAAACTCAAACTGGTGCCCTTTTGGGATGCTAGTGCTGCAGGCTGTGGCTTTAACCTGCTGCATCACAGGGCCAGCCCCTGACCCTACTGGGAGTTTCAGAAGAGTGTAGAGTTTCAGAAAAGTTCATGCATTTCTCAGAATGCTGGACACCAATAATCCCACCTTTTGCCTAAAGGGACTAAATGCTTCACTAACCTGTGGTGAATGGAAATACTTCAAGTAGGAGAGGTACAAAGTTTCGGTCTTTAAACATAGTATGTTTCTTCCACTAGCTACATATGTGGGCCCATTAAACTTTCATGTGTAGCTCAATGATTTAAGAATAATTTATACTCAACTAATTTCTACTGTATAAAGAGACCATCACTCCCCAAAGTGATGCTTAATGAATATGAAAGAGCATATGAGTGCATTTCTGCCTTCAAAAACACTGTTAAATGATTCATCTGCTGTGAAGGGGGGAAGCAAACATTTACCATGCACTTGCTAAGGTAAATGGAAACGGACAGGATTCTTTGTACAGTAAAATGTCTGCTTGGCAGACACAGAGAAGCGCTGTCTCAGCTGTCGGCTCCTGCAGTCTGCGGCAGCTGCAGAGCGGGCGGCTCGGCCCAAGGTCAGGTGCTCGCTAGGACAAGTGGGCTATAAAGACTTAGAAGAAGCACAGATCTTCTGAGAGGTCCAGCTGACTGGCTCTGGCAGCCACACTGCAGCTTGATTTCTCACTCTGCCCGGTCCTGCTTCCTCCCCTGCCCTGCAACTGGGGTGATCCCTAATAACCACTATGCACTCCAAACTCTTATCCTGTAGTCCCTAACATCTGCACTTGGGCTTTCCCAAGAGGATGCTATAATGGGATTTTAGGGCAGATCTAAGCATGCTCACTACAGGGGAGGGAAAGAACTAGAAATGCAGCATGGTAGGCACTTTAAAAATGTCAGGCATGGAATCCTCAGCCTGATTGGTACAAGTGTGACCTTCGTGCTGTGGAGGTAACACAACAGAGCTCAGGGAAGTCAAGGTGTTTTCTTCAGTGGTACAGGCTGCGGAACAAGGATTTGAGTCTAAGTCTGCTGCCAAAGACTTCGTGATTTCCTGTCCACTTTGCAGTCTGAACTGCCTGTATTTAGGTGCTGGCCAAGTAGGACAACCACCAACATGCATATTTTGAGGACCAGAAACCATGCAAAGCAGAGTTCTTGCTTAGCTCTACTTGGAAAGTCACTGCACTGGACTGGCATGGGGGAACCAGCAAGGAACTCACGCTTACCTGAGATACCTCTGAGGTCGTGGGTGGTGACTAAGTTGGAGCAGACATGCTGGTGCCTGTAGATGGACTCGGATAACAGGAAGTGCAAGTTGTGCAGTGGCATGGTGGACACGAGGGGCAGCATTCCGTCCTGGTGTGGGATCTGCACCGAGATGTGGATCCTAGATGAGAAGGGCAGAGAGGAGTGTTTAGCTGCACGCTGTGCACAGTAGGCTGCACTTCTCACCAACACATCTGGCTGCACCAATGAATCCAGCAGTTTTTTCCCCCCGAAGCTTTCTGTGTAGGATTTCTCTCTGAATGTGAGAGTGCAAGATGTGTTCCTAGAGTTGATTCCTGTCCTGCCCCATGGATCCACCAGACTCAAGACGGAGAGCGATTGGGAATCATTGTTTTTTTTTTTTTTTTTTTCTTTCTGTGCAAGAAAATATTTTCTCCTAACCATGCATTACTTGAGAGCTTTCTTTTGCTCTAAGAGGAAGCTTTGCTTTTTTTTTTAGGAGTGAATGCTGAGTGATGAGACAGGTGCTGGCTCCCTACTCTATCACAGTGAATGTATGTGGAAGTTGGGTAGAGTTGAGACTTTTTTTTCATAGTGTTTTTTTTTTTTTTTTTCTCACTGATCCAAAGCCAGGAGCAGAGTACTTCCTCCTGGTCTCCCATGCGGGTGCAGGGACTCAAGCACTTGGGCCATCCTCCGCTGCCCTTCAGGGCCACAGCAGAGCTGGACTGGAAGAGGAGCAACCGGGACTAGAACCTGGGGTGCCAGTGCTGCAGGTGGAGGATTAGCCAAGTGAGCCACGGCGCTGGCCAGAGACTTTTTTTTTAAGTATTTTGGTAAAAAAGATACCATTGAGCCAATTCTAAGGCCAATTTCTGCACCCAGACAAATATCCTAGCACTTACAGCACTGTACTACTCACACTGTTTCTCCCTCAGAGAGAGCCACTTTCTCTCTCCTCCCTCCAAGTCCCATCAACACCTCCTAGGGCCCTTGCTGGCATTAATCTGCAAACCCAGCTCCTGTGATCCATATCCCTGTGCACTTTGGTGGCCTTTGAATCGGGAGGTCTGTAACTTATTTCTATTGCCTGCTGTTTCTTGTGTGTTTTAAGACTCTGTTTATTCTGCCTCCCCACTATGAGGACAAGGACCATTTCCTTCATTTCGTTGCTCTCTCTAGTGCGTATAGTACACAATTCTAAATAAAATATGAACTTAATAAATATTGGTTAAGACTGCGGCATAACAGAACTGTACTTATGGGATGCATTCTTTTTCACGGTACAAGTTCACATTTTCAGCTTGTTTATGGAGAATGTGTTATGAGTTTACACAGTGTGTCTCTCTGAGCAAACAGGTACATGTCTAAGAGCAAGCAGAATCCTGGATGTGAAGAGGATGGCCCATTCTCTAGGAAGTGGTCAGTGAGTGCACTGAGGACTTCTGTTACTGCTCCTTAACAAAAATAAATTTTTTTTTCTATTTGAAAAAAAGGATTTGCATGTTCTTGAACCCACATTCAAACCTATTTTTTCCCCTTGAAAAGGAACCATTTTTCTGAACTCAGTTGCCCATAAAAGTATGCATTAAATGCTGTTGGGTTTAACGAGCATGTAGAGAAGACATGTATCCATCTCCCATCTAACTCATGAAGCACAAGAAAAGTCCAGTGATTTATAGTATTTACAGTGTTACTACTTACTTGTCTAGTAGATGTTTGGTGAATGCCTCTTGGGTGCCAACAGGCACTGTGCTAGGTAGAGGAGATGCAAAATACATACTTCTGGTCCCTTCCCTTTAGGTCCTACCATATGCTGTGGGCACAGAGCAGCAATGTGGGTGCTACAGCAGCCAGGAGGAGGAGCCTCCAAATTAAATTGGAAATTACAGAAGTGTCCCTAGAAGACACGTTCTGAGCAAGGTGTCGTAGGATGATGGGATTTACCTACAGCAAGGGAAAGGGAGTATCAGAGATTTGGAGTTGGGGAGAACAGTGTAGAAGGGTCAGCCTAAAAGTTTGAAGCCATTGGGAAGTTCCATGTTAAGCTGTGTGGCTGGAAAGGATTATGTGAGGGAAATGAGGTTGGGGAGACAGGCTAGGGTCCAGACCTCGAAAGTGTTTTTATCATTCATTCATTGATATGGCAGCAATCACTGAAGCCTCCCACCCGGGCAGCTCCCCACGTGTCAGCCCACACTGTCATGGTGGAAGGCACCACCTGCCTGACCTGTTTGGATGCTCCTTGTGTTTGACATCCAGGTATTTCAAAGTTGCGATGAAGGACTGAGCCTGGAAGCCTCTGGCTGTCCCAGCCACCACTGGGGTGTGGCAGATTGCACTGTCTGTTCCGATGGTCACAATGTTGCTCCTTAGGGGGGTCCCCACGTGGCCCACCTTGTCCACAGCTTTTGCCACACAACGCACGTGGAACCTCCGGCTGAAGTAAATGCTATCCAGGACCTACCAAGGAGAATAAAGCATTTCAGACTTGCATAAATGACAAGAGCAGACTCTTATACTGCATTTTCCTATCTGATACAGGAAACTCCTACTACCTAGTAATCCGTGAGGGCCCTTCATCTTTCCACCCATCCACCCAACACCCATCTGTCTATGTACTCACCCATTCATTCTATAATCACTGACTATCGAGCATGAACCAGAGCCTGGGATAGAGCAGTGAGTATTTATAGCCAAAAAAGGCAGACAGACAATAAGCCAACTCAATAGACACTGGGAAAAAACCAAGCTCCTGGTTACCAGCAACAGTATGGCTCTTTGTATGCATTTAGTTCAGCATAAGGAATGCCAGACTATTTTCCAGATCTTCCAGCAAGACTGGCTGGCCTCTGAGTCACTGTTGCTGAGAGCCTGGTGTGGACAGACAGTGGTGAGATGCCTCCGTCCCAGGACTTATTTCTCATCCCTTCGTTTCCCTTGCCTCAGCTGAAGAGTTGCAATAACGCATCGTCTTCAAGCTGAGAACTTGGCCTCTGATGCCTCCTGGCCCCTGCTGCTCTTTCTACAGTTCCCAAAGATGCAGAAGCTACACGAATGCCTAACTCAATCAACACAGAGGCCATGTAGTCTCCCCAGGACTCTTCAGGTAGTATGTGTGCACACACATACACAAAGGGGTGTATGTAACAAGAAAAATCAGTTCTGTGTGCCTGAGCCCTCCCACAATGCAATCACACAAACCTTATAATCTGTACCCTTGAAAACAATTTTCACTCAAGTCCATTAAAAATTAAAACAGATTTTCTCATTAAACTTTTTTAAAAAATTAGCTGCTATTTATTTATACATAGACTTAGTCCAAAAGGCATTGAAGGCATCCTGTAAAAATGCACACAGCACCTTGGTAACCGTTCTGTGCTTTGGTTGAATAAGCAGTCCCCACCACGTGCCATCAATGTGCTGGCCACCTGGGGATGTATACAAATGGGGCAGAAGCCTGGATGCTCATCCTTCAGGAGTTTATAGCCTAGTGCTTCCTGAATGACTGAAAATACGTGAAAAGAACAGGGACCACTAATGTGGCTGCCTGCAGTCTGACTCACTGTATCATCTACAAGTCATATCTGTCCATCGCTTTGAAAAGTGGTCAGTGGAAGAAGCTGAGATTGAGACAAGAGAGGGCAAGTAACCTCTTAACGCCACATAGGTGAAAACAGAATCAGGACTTGTAAGCAGGTCTTCTGACTAATAATGCAGTTTTTTCTACTATACTAACTTATCTTTACACAAGGGTGTTTCCAGAAAGTTCATGGAAAAGGGAATGAAAAAACTTTATTTTGGAACAAAAAAATTTGAAATCCATGCATAGTTTTTCATAATATGGATTCTCCATGAACATTGTCAACACTTTCCTTATACACAAGAATAAAAAGACTGGGGTGGGCAGTGTGGCACAGCAGGCTAAACCATTGGCTCTGACGCTGGTATCCCATGTCAGAATGCTGCTTGGAGTACAGGCTGCTCTGCTTCCAATCCAGCTCCCTGCTAATGTGCTTGGGATGGCAAAGGAATATGGCCTAAGTGCTTGGGCCCCCTCCACTTGTGTGGGAGACCCTGCCAAAGTTCCTGGCTCCTGGCTTCAGCCTGGCCCAAACCTGGCTGTTGTGGTCACTTGGGAAGTGAACCAGCAGATGGATGATCTCTCATTCACTCTGCCTTTCATATGAAATCGTTTTTTAAAAAGATTAAAATGGACCATCTGTATACTTGCATTTTTACATTCCAAATGTCATGGGGGCCTTAAGGAAACTGACAGTCTGAGCAAGGACAATGGGGGTTCTCTTCATCCCCACCCAGACCCACTCCCCAGACCTACCATGTGGTTGACACTGGTGAACGGCGTGTTGTCAGTGACGGTCTCAAAGGGCGACCGGGCCCCATTGCCATCCGTGGGGGTGGCCACTTCCCAGCTGAACTGCACAGATGTCTGATTGATGCCTGCCTCGCTGCAGCGCTCCTTCATGATAGCGTATCGGGGGAAGTGAGGGTCACAGGGGGTGACACAGACCAGGGGGTAGCCTGGAGAGGGCGACTTCTTGGCTCCATCCTTGGAGACCTCTTCCACATGGTCATAGTCAGCAAGGGTGACCACCTGCCAAAGAGCAACCAAGCTTCAAGCCAGGTGGAGTATCTGAAAGGTCAGAGAACAAAGGCTTCCCGCCCCCATAGAGACTCAAGATCTCTAACTTCTAGGGGTTCTTCAAGATGGCAACCATAGTTTTTACAGTTCTTTATAAGCCACCCCTAAAAGATGCTGTAATTCTTGAAGGGTGGTGGAGATGATTCTACTGCCTGAGCTGAAAGCTTTATTGTCCTATTACTCATATTCCTGAATCAGCCCTGCCTCTCATGGGAAAAATAATTTTCCTGCACACAGGAGCCAAAGCTCTTCATGAATGGCAACCGATAGCTTAAAGTTGCATTAATTTATTAATGGTAAGCAGTTGCACATTTGGCACCACATTGTGGTCAAATAAAAATCACATTTTAAAATAGTCCTTGTCGTCTAATACATGAGACTTGTCAGGGGAGGTTACAAGGTTTCTTCTGGCTACTTCACTATTATGGGTTAGATTTTCCTTGACAACCTCCAGGTATTTTCCTCTTCATTGCAAAGCCAGTACATTCATTCTGTCATCCCAAACTGGGAAGCAGCTTACTACAGTTCTGCTGATACTTAATTCTCTATGTGTGGTGGGTATACAGGATAATAGATATGAGGTAGCATTACCCTCTTACTGTGCCAGCTCCCACCAAAGAAAGGAGATCAAGTGCATTGTACTTTCCACCTTTAACAGACTAAGGTATCCACGTGGTTTGATCTTGGTCTTGTATCAGAACAGTCTGACACCCTCAGCCCTACTGACATCTGTGGCCTGTCATTCTTTTTGACGTGGGATCTGCCCTGTGCTCTGTAGGCTGTCCAGCAGACTCCCTGTTTTCTACCAATGCTAGTGGCATCCAGCGTGACTCGTGGCAACCAAAGATGTCTCCAGACACTGCCAAATGTCCTCTGTGTGTGAGGGTGGGGTGGGGTGGGTGGTAAAGGGTGCACCTGCTGGTGTCTGAGAATCACTGGGCTAAACTAACAAAGAATTAGAGCATTTGAAGGCTCACTCCCTTGAGTTCTTATCTGCTATAGTGAATATGTGGTGATATATACCACTATATAAATCAGTGAACACATAGAAGCAGCAATCCTTCAGGGCAGGCAACTCACAATGGGTGGTGCTGGCAGTATGAGGCTTCCTGCTGCCTCCTGGTCTAGAATTGTCACCGTGGCAGTGGTCACGTCCCCAAGTACTGCTTCCACCGGGTCATCTGGACCGAGGACTAGAGAGAACGATTCGTGCCACTCCCGGTCTTCGTTGGACAGGATCTCGACTTTAAAAAAGATATGATCCACACCTTCATCAAAGACAGGAGAAAAAGAGAGCAGGCGCCTTCTTAGGGGATGCATCCGAGAGTGGGCAGGTTGGCCCTGCAAGGACATCACATACAAATACCCCCTTTCCTTCCAGAGGTTTTCTCTAACTGCAGTGCTGCTAATTATGTTCGCCCCATCTCAAAAGAGGAATCTGTCTTCCAGACCAAATTCCACCTGTGGTGGAGGCTCCAGGTTGCAGATTTACTATGAAGCACCATATGAGGATTAATGGCCCCTGCCTGACACTGGCTGGCAGTAATAAAAATCTGTGATCCAAAGTACACTTCATCCTGGTTATGACTTTTCTTTTTGCTTAATTTTTCTTTCTCCTTACATGTATGCATGAGCTCCCGTGTTGTTGGCACCCTTCAAAGCTGTCCCCTGAGAAGCAGCAGCACAGAGTCCACCTCCCAGACCAGTGATAACACGCTAGGTTGGTGGCCAGGTAGGGGAAGGGTTCCTGCTCTCGAAATCGCCCTCCTTTTCTGTGGAATGATGCTCTGAAGGTGCAGCTATCCCAGGCAGTAGTTAAGGTCCCCTTCCTCCACTCCCACAGACATCTGGGCCAGGTTGCTCCTAGCCCTGGCTTCCTCTAGATCCTTATGCAGAAAGGAGAAGGTAATGAGACTTGACATAGAGGTGCTTTGCACAGGTGGGAGAAGGGCATCTAGCTTTCCAGCAGACATCACACAGACACACAAGTGATGGAGCTAAATGCCTTTTAAAGCTCAAATGAGGCCAAAGAGGTGCACAGGGCCCCTCTACCCATGGCTTGCATCATTTCTGAGGGAGTCCTCTTCTCCTTTTCCCTGCCAGGATGTCTCTCCTAACGCTCTTGCCAGCTGCCAGCTAGAGGACAAATGGTCAGGATCTACACCAGTCTTTTACCTTCACAGTGCTCCAGAAGGTTCTGGGGAAAAAACCACATACAATTCAACCCTTTCCTGTCTCCTTCCATCCGTTGAATTAATATGGTAGATGGTTAAGTGGCTAATTTTGACCTGAATACCATCCTTCTCTCTTCATTGCCTCACCTCTCTCTCTCTCCCTCGGAGAAACTTTTTGTGGAAAGCCCATAACCACGTATCCCATTTCCTGGCAGATGTTAAACCACTTGAGTACAGGCACTGTACCTTCCAGATTGCTGTGTTCTCTGATGGACTCAGCACAGTGCTCTTTGAACAAATATTTGAATGATCTGTGTGTGTGTATTTAAAACCAGGTGTTCCTGTCATTCAATCAAATCCTTTTAAATGAACCAAAATGTCCAGCATGTTCTGAAGTAAGGGTCCTATTATTTTTCCATATCATTTCTACTAACTAAAAATTTTACTTACAATCTCAAATATGTGCTTAATAAATGCTTTATGCTATTGGGACTATTGTTTTCCATGAACTAGAGCCCACAGATTGGGGTTGACATTCAATTACCAGGATTGAACTTCAAGACTCGGCTCTTTGGGTAATAATCCACACCAGACTGGGCAGACCCATCACGTGTGCTACAGCGAATCTTGGAGGTCCTGTTCTGATCCCCTCTGCGGATCACCTTGATGTTGAGAATTGCAATGGCATCTGGTCCTGCAGGTTCCCGGACTTGATATGCAGCTTCTTCAAACTCTATGGTGGGGGCTGAGGAAACACAGTTAGGGACAGGAGAGCGGGTTAGAATAGTACAAAGGGGGCGTGGTGTAGCAGGTAAAGCTGCCACCTGCAGTGCTGGCTTCCCATATGGGCTCTGGTTCAAGACCCGGCTGCTCCACTTCTGATCCAGCCCTCTGCTATGGCCTTGGAAAGCAGAAGATGGCCCAAGTCCTTGGGCCCCTGTACCCACGTGGGAGACCTGGAAGAAGCTCCTGGCTTGACCTCACTCTCTGTCTGCCTCCTCTCTCTGTGTGTAATTCTGACTCTCATATAAATAAGTAAATCTTAAAAAAATAATAAAAAAAAGAACAGCACAAAGGATCCAGACTCCTGTGAAAACCCCTCATAATAACAAGAAGAAATTGTTCCCATTAGTTAACAATATAGGCAAAAGGGCTTGCAGTCACAAAAATCAATCTGTATTTACCGCTAGGCAATGCATTAGCAACAGGCATTACCTGTGATCTTGTAGGAATTTTCTCGCACATCTCTCTCTATTAAAAACTATATAATGGGGGCAATACTTATACAGATCCTGAAATGCATAGAGTCCAAGTTTCCATCTTGGTATTCTAGCTCACAGAATGTTTTTAAATTTGTACAACTTTTCAAGGGAATGAGACATAGTAGGCCCCTCATAAACAGCTATTGACTGATAACATCCAGCAACTTTTCATTTATGGGACAGGAATTTCTACGGTTTATAATTTATCTCATTTACATATATTCAAAGTTGCTAAATTCATCTCTCATCGCTGGCCTTTTAGATGCCTCTCCTCCCTTCCCCAGTGCCTAACTTCTCATGCTACTTACATAAGTATGGGTAGTTTTAGTGAATGGCTATAGTGATAACTTAAGAGCACAAGACCACCTCATACAATCTGGTTTAAGGTAATATTCTTATTGCTAGGAAATGATCACTCATACTATGTTGCTTTTTACAAAAAGTTCAAAGCATATGGAAGGGCAGGAGAGTGGTGGTGGTAGTAGAGATAAAAATCTGGGAAAATTGAGAGCAGTTACAAACTGTATACCATTTTTAGTACATCACTGAATATTACAGCTGTTTTTAATCTCTGTTTCCCTTTCAGGAAGACAAATCTTTCCAATTGTAGAAGATGTCTCGTTTGAGACTTTACAGTTTTTAGTGAGAAGGCGCTCTCTGAAATCTAAGATGTTTACTGTAGCTGTGAATTTGTTACTTTTCTGAGCCTCCGTTGTGTTTCTGTGTTCTGGGAGAGGTTCGACTGAGGATCTGTTTCTTAGGGTAAAGGACTAATTTAATCTCAAGGCTGGCTTTTCTTATTTTACCTGATGTCCATGTTAGTTACAGATTTCTCACTAGAAATGCTTAGGGTCTCACTGACTTGGGACTGGTGTTGTGGTACAGTAGGGTAAGCCAGTGTTGGCGACACTGGCATCCCACATCAGAGTGCTGGTTCAGGTCTCTGCTCAAGACCATTCTGCTTCCAATCCAGCTCCCTGCTGATATGGCTTGGAAGGCAGAAGACAGCTCAAGTGCTTGGGCCCCTGTGACCCATATGGGAGACAAGGATAGAGTTCCTGGCTGCTGGCTCTTCATAGATGGATGCTATCTCTATGTCTCTTTCTCCCTCTCAGTCACTCTGCCTTTCAAGTAAGTAAATCTTTTTTTTTTTTTTTAAAGAATCTCATTGACTCAGAGTAGTTAAGCATGCAGCTTCTAGAATGGGATAAAATGTGGTTCGCATCCAGTTTTGCCTAGTGCTGTGTATCTGAGAGTGCAAATGAATTAACTATGCTGAGGTTCAGCTTTTTGACCTATAATACAGGGACAACAGCACCTACTTCAAGAAAATACTGCCAGGATTAAATGAACAGTGATATAATATGCTTAACATAAGTCTTGGAATTACAATAAATATTCAAAACTGTTATACTATTTATAATTTTATCCATTAACTCATCAAAATATTTATTTGAGTAAAATCATTTGTCCTGTGAAACAGTTTTTGTTTCCTGGATGCTGAGGTCATTCTTTGCTAACATCTGACTCCAGAATTTAAAGTTTTTTTGTTTGTTTTTTTGTTTTTTTGGTTGATGTTTAGGCCAGTAGGCTAAATCAATGAGAGAGAAAAAAGCTGAGAAATTGTGAGGAAGTGGACTTTTCTGAAAAGGTAGCAGTGTTTTAATGAGTTCATTGGATTCAGTTGCTGCTGATTGTACTTCCTGCTCCTGAGTACAGTGACTTAGTTTTCATTCTTTCTTTGCCTTAGTGCATCTGTCCTAGCTTTTAACCATATTCATCATTATGATGTGGCCCTGCGGTAGGGAATAATGAGATAAAACCTCCCAGGAGCTTACCGGAGCCCTATAGAGAGTGATCATTTGCAGCTAACATTTGATACAAATATTCAGAGATTATCAGTAGGCATTTTATAGTGCATCACTACTGATGACATTGTTAGTAAAATGCAAGTTCTTATCCCAGCAACCCAAGCGTAACTAAGGGCAGTTTCACGTGTTACCATCTTCATCGTTGGATATGGTGATGGTGGCCATGTTATTCTTTCCGACTCTAGCTCCACTCCAGTGGTTTCCAAGAGGGTGGCCAAGGTAGACCTTGAACTGCTCCTCTGGCTCAAACATGGAGTCATCATGGATGTAGACAGTACAGTTCTTCACCTAGAGCCAGTGGCACAAATAGGTTAACATTCGCTGCAAGATGTCAGTAACCCACCTGATTTTTCTAGAAAATTGCTTCTTTTAGCATCAAAGAACACACATTCAAAATGATTCAAACAATTTTGTTCATAAAACAGAATGTTTAAAATTCGACAGTTCATGCCTCAGTGCCACCTCCCTATGTGGCAAGAATTGTATTTAGATACACTTAACAATTCTGATGTCTTGGTGATGACTTCCAAAAACCAAAGAGCAATATGAGAAACAGTGACTTGATCAGCTCTTGTCCTGACGGTTGATGTACAATGTAACACTTTATCCATTTTAGTTTTTTGTTTTAGTACCATTGGTTGAACTCTGTAATTAACACACAATTATTCTTAGGTGTTTAAATTTTAACTGAAAAGTGATCCCTGTTAGGAATTTGGAAAACATTATGTTGAGTGAAATAAGCCAATCCCAAAGGGACAAATACCACTTGTTCTCCTTGATAGGTGACAACTAACTGAGCACCAAAAAGGAAACCTGTTAAAGTGAAATGAACACTATGAGAAATGGTGACTTGATCAGCCCTCACTCTGACTGTTGATGAGCAGCTTAATATGTTATCCCTCTTAGTATTTTTTTTGTTTGTTCTACTTAATACTTTTGGTTGAATACTGTAATCAATACACAATTCTTCTTAAGTGCTGAAACTTAACTGAAAAGTGATCTCTGTTCAATATAAGAGTGGGAATAAGAGAGGGAAGAGATGTGCAATTCGGGACATGCTCAAGCTGACTTACCTCAAACAGTAGAGTTAGAAACATACCAGGGGATTCGAATTCAATCCCATCGAGGTGGCATGTACCAATGCCATCTCACTAGTCCCAGTGATCAATTTCTGTTCACAATTGAGCATAATGATAGGACTAAGAACCAAAGGGATCACATAAACAAGACTAGTGTCTGCAAATACTAGCTGATAGAATAAAAAAGGGAGAGAATGATCCAACATGGGAAGTGAGATACACAGCAGACCCATAGAATGGCAGATGTCCTAAACAGCACTCTGGCCTCAGAATCAGCCCTTAAGGCATGCGGATCCGGCTGAAATGCCCATGAGAGTATTTCAGGAATGGAAAGCCAAGACACTCTGGGGGAAAAAAAAAAAAAAAAACCCTAAATGAAAGATCTCCGCGAGTGAGTTCCCAGTGGAAAGAATGGGTCAAAGAAGGAGGTACCTTTCTCTGAAGGGAGGAGAGAACTTCCACTTTGACCATGGCCTCGTCTAAATATGATCAGAGTCGGTGAACTCAGGGGGCTTCCATAGCCTTGGCAGCTCATGACAAGAGCCTAGGGTGATTACTGAGGCCATAAACAAGAGTGTCAATTTGTTAAGTCATCAACAGGAGTCACTGTGCACTTACTCCTCATGTAGGATCTTTGTCCTTAGTGTGCTGTACATTGAGATTTAATGCTATAACTAGTACTCAAACAGTATTTTTCACTTTATGTTTCTGTGTGGGAGCAAACTGTTGAAATCTTTACTTAATGTATGCTAAACTGATCTTCTGTATATAAAGAGAATTGAAAATGTATCTTGATGTGAATGGAAGGGGAAAGGGAGTGGATAAGGGGAGGGTTGCGGGTTGGAGGGAAGTTATGGGGGGGAAGCCATTGTAATCCATATTCTGTACTTTGGAAATTTATATTCATTAAATAAAAGTTAAAAAAAAAGAAAAAAAAGAAAAAGACAAAGAGCAATAAGGCAAACATCTAAAGACACATGTGAAATATTTATGTGCTTTTCTACATTTTGTCTGCGCTACTTAATACTTTTGCACATGTTGTAATAGCTAGATTTCTGATGATCAGTGTTTAACATACTGATTAGACTTCTAGAGAGCTGAGTAATGTTTGTATTCCTCTGTAAAAATTAAGTAATCTTATAGGGAACTTTGAAAGGCTTTGTGTCAGGTTGAAGATATCTTTAAAAGTTAAAGAACTCTGAAAGCTGAGGACAAATGGTATGAAAACTGAAAACTGCAAAGTATTGTAATCCCAATCCTTATTTGATGACAACAAAGCAAGTGTTTGTCAAACTGATTATTCTCTACTGAGGACTGTATTTTCAAGGAAGTGTAATTAGAGTCACAGCATTCTACATAGCAGCCTCTATTCTGGAATCATATAATACCAACTGGAATACTTTCAGTTGGGCCCTTTTGGACCTCTCTCCTATCATATTAAAAGGGCTATATGGGGGCTGGCACTGTGGCATAGTAGGTTAAGCCTCTTCTTGCAGTGCTGGCATCCCATGTGGGCACTGGTTGGAGTCCTGGCTGCTCCATTGGAAGTGGGGCTCCCTGCTAATGGCCTGGGAATGCAGCAGAGGATGGCCCAAGTGCTTGGGCCCCTGGACCCATGTGGGAGACCCAGAAGAGGCTCATGGCTCCTGGCTTCAGATCAGCCCAGCTCTGGGCATTGCAGCCATTTGGGGATTGAACCAGCTAATGGAAGACCTCTTTCTCTTTCTCTCTCAATCTGTAACTCTGCCTTTCAAATAAATAAAAAACCTTTAGAAATATACAAATGGCTTAGTAAAACAGTAAAAGAAATTAAAAGACTTACCATAATTTCATAAATTAAAAATCATACATAGAAAATAATTATTTTTAGGAACAAATATAAATCAAGAGATAACACTTTAAACACAATAGGCTGGGCAGGCAGTTGGACTGGAGAACTGGCATAAAATAGACAAAAATAATAGTAGGACCTTGTACTGACCAGTGAGGACTGTGCACTTGAACCAGGGGATAGCATTGAGTCAGTCTTCTGAAACTGGGATCCAGAGAAGGGCAGATGGGTTTCTTATTCAGCATATACTTTTGATGCACACAGAATTTGCAGAGGTTGCAGGCTTTGGTTCAATAGTATTTATGATGCAACCGTAGTTAGTGATGAGTTTCTCAGGAGTTCCTATGTCCCTATGCCTGACTTTTCATGTACATTGCCAGGAGAATACCCCATTGACTTGAATCTGCTCAACTGCTGCCTATTTGGTCCTGTACTAGGATGTATGTCACCCTGGGTCAGGGACCCAGGTAGTAGAGGACTGTCTCTTCCTCTCTCAGTAACATCAGCAGTCTGTTTATTTCTAACATAGATTACAATGAAGCCTCATCCATTTGATTCTGCTAAGTTCCAAAAGTGTTACCCAAGACCTTAACCTTCCCAGCTAAACAAATCTATACAAGGGAACTACCTAAAGTTTGTGGAAAAATTGAAATAAAAAATAAGCCTATTTTGGTCCAAAACTTTTTGAAATCCATGCACATTAATTTCATGTGTATTTTCATGAAATTTTGAAGGCTCCTCACATATATCTTTGGTTGTAAGTTGGAGACAAGATAGAATGGAATAGATAACATTATTACAAAGGTCATTTAGCAAGGAAATTCTGAGAATGCTTAGAACTGGTCTAAAGTGCCATGGATAGGCACAGGGAACAGGAAGACGGGATTCCCGTCTGAGGCCACCACAAATCACTTACCTTCTCCCCTTTCAGAAATGTGATCCGGGAAGAGTCTGCATTTCTTCTCTCCTCAAAATCCTCCATGACCTGAGCCGTGTGGCTCTGAGTATAGCACCTCACGGACGACTCATAGCTCAGGTCTCCACTCCGGATGATAGGAACGTGCAGGACGCCCTCCTTCTCCTTCACCAGGAGCAGATCCTTGCCAAACTGCATGCTGGGCACTGGGTGAGCAGAGGGTGGCGTCATTAGTGGGAGACAGAGGGATGCAGTGGCCGCGAGAGGGCTGCACTGCAGGAGCAGGTTGACAGATCGCGGGCAGCAAGGCATGGCTGTCGCTCTCAGGACAAGGGAACTGCTTCACTGTGAGGGCAGTTCCAATGAAATGGATTAAGTCAGTTGTGCCTGTCTTTGCTTAGCCTCATCACAGGCAGGCAGGCAATACAAGTAAAGAAATGGGTCAGGTGTGAGAAAAATTGTGATGGTGATTTGGATACTCGAAAGAGTTCGCTTTCTTCCTAGGCAACAATAAAGCCAATAGCAGTGCAAGTCTGATGACAAATGGCCACTCACATGGGCCTTGCGTCCAGGGAAACAACAGGGAGGAGTGAGGACCCTGGCCAAGGAAAAAGAGCCGGCTCTGTTCAGAGCCGCCAGTCTTTTGTTGCAAAGCTTATTTTCCAACAAAGTCAGAGATGTGCATTTTTCCCTTGTATTTTTCTCTTGCATTTACAAATAACAACCAAATAAAATAGTAAGGAGAAATTCCACAGAAGGCAAAATTGTATGGACCAAACAAGACATAACCACAGGCTGGATCTGGCCAGTGGGTGCCTAGTCCGTGGCTGCTGCTGTAGTGTTATCTCTTCTTCTATAACTCATGGCCTCATATAATTGTAATGAGATAATGTATGCAGGATACTCAGTACAGCATCTGCCCATGGAAGGCAACTCACGTTTTGCAAAGAATTAGGATATGATGGTTTGTATTTCCTCCCTAACTCTACCTTCTAGACAGGAAGGATCCTTTTTTAGACTTCTTTATTTCCTATAATTTCTATTATAATGTTCTACATTAAAATACATCCCCAAGACTAACATTTTGTTGACTTCTGATTATTAATTTCTTCACAATCAATGCCAAGAGTCATGTCCAAGTCTCCTGAGGTAGAATTAGCCATTGGGATGGCAGGAAGCTGACCCGAAAACATAACCACCTATTTCTTGGCCACCTCCTGGTTGTGCCCTGCCAAACCTGAGGAGAAGGAACCAGAAGGGGCTGGTGCGAGCACCCGAGCACTCTGCAAGCCAGTCTGTTGAAAGCTCTGTTTGCCTCCTGCCCACTCCTGTTCCCACCTGTTGGCTCAAGAAAAATGGAAACCATCCCATCCCCTGAATGAAGCCAAAGAGTTACCAATTATTACTAAAGAAAAAGCCAGAAGTGCCTCTAAAAAAGCACACCTAAAGGAAAATGTACAACGTGGGCTTTAAGCCCAGCCCTGGGGTCTGGAATCCAGTGAAATGCTGTTAAAGGCAGGAGCAATGAAAGGATGCTGGTTGCTAGGGAAAGGGCCAAGGGTTGGAGGAAGGAGGCTAGAAGTTAAAGTGCTACTATTTAGCTTCTGTCCTGACTTAATCAGCCCCATGGCCATCTTGCATTATAAAATATTCCTTTCCTCCCTTCTTGAACAAGATACCATCCAATCTATCTCTGTTCATGAAAAGAAAAAAAGAGAAAGAGAAGAGAGTGGTGCCTCCCACAGTCGGCTTCCCAGAAGCGATGCCTGTGTGTAAGGAGGCTGCAGTGCCTTGAGAGGCTGAGGGAAGAGAAGGTGTGCACTACAAGGTGTGTGCAGCCGCAGATCCATGCGTGTAGTGCTTTCATTCGAGCTTGTATTCACACCACTCTCTCAACAACCCTTTGAGGAATACAGTCCTCAGGGAGGGACAGTCTTGACTCTGGGAGTCAGTTTCCCCTGACCGCCAGCCTCTCTCTTTCTATACTGATGGAGTGCATAAAAATGAAACAGGTGACCCGCGAAGGGCACAGGGGCTTACATATTCACTGATGGTTGGCACCTCTCTCTGAAAAGTTAACACACATGACCCATTTATAGTTATCTTTTAATTTCTGTAAGTCTCCATCCCAAAATAGACTGTGGGACTCTGCTCTTCATTACTCTGTAGCCAACACAATGCTGAGCACCAGCGCAGGCACAGAAAATGTTCTATACACACGCTCGTCCTGCTCACTTTCTCCATAACTGACAAAATGAACGTAAACACCCGTGCCTGGAATGCAGTGGCCTCTTCAGGAGCAATGGTTGGCCCAGAGATTTAGAATGCCTGCCCCTGGCTCTTCCGAGCTAATGAGCAGGTATGACACCATTGCATACATGGGGCTGTAGTGCTGCAGTGGCAACAGGGTCATTCTTATCCTGCCCAGCTGGCCTTACTCACACACACACTGGAGTCTAATTGTGGGTAGCATGGCAGAAGACAAAGGTGAGAGCCGGCGCCGCGGCTCAATAGGCTAATCCTCTGCCTAGCGGCGCCGGCACACTGGGTTCTAGTCCCGGTCGGGGCGCCGGATTCTGTCCCGGTTGCCCCTCTTCCAGGCCAGCCCTCTGCTGTGGCCAGGGAGTGCAGTGGAGGATGGCCCAGGTGCTTGGGCCCTGCACCCCATGGGAGACCTGCTCCTGTCATCGGATCAGCGCGGTGCGCCGGCCGCAGCGCGCCGGCCGCGGCGGCCATTGGAGGGTGAACCAACGGCAAAGGAAGACCTTTCTCTCTGTCTCTCTCTCTCACTGTCCACTCTGCCTGTCAAAAAAAAAAAAAAAAGAAGACAAAGGTGAGAAATGGGAAAACAGGCTGAGATGAGCTACTGAGTTGACTTATGGTCCTACAACCAGCCCAGTGGAAAAAAGATGAAAAGAGCTAAGCATACTCCAGAAGGCTGAAAGTGGACTTGCTAAGGATCGTGAGTTCCGGTAAGCCCAGCCATACAGCGGGCAGTGGTCTGCTAGGCTCCGGTATGGAAAGTTAGCATCGTAAGACATGGAAACAGAAGATGGACTTGGAGGAGGCTTGAGTTCCAACTCTGGCCCATCACTCCCTCGTCATGTGATCTTACACAGGTTACTCCATCTCAGTTTCACAAATTGCAGGTCTGGTGTGAAGATTAGAGACTAAGTAGGCAAAGCTCTTCCACACTAGAATGTGCATCCTGAATGGATGCAAAAGTTAGTTGTTACTGGGAGGAAGGGTAAATGAAAGTAGAAAGCGCAGTGCCTCAGGGGAGCAGGGGCTGGGATTCTTCTCTGGGATACACTCTTGACCGGCACCCCATTGCAGATGCTTACCCGAAAGATGAGAAGTGTTTTGTTTAACATTTTCTTTTCTGTTTGTACTCCCAATGCCCATCAATAAATAGACTCATGGTAAGAAAAATCTAAATAGAATCCTCTGTGATGATCAGAGTGCAACAAAATATGTGTTCCTGGTGTCTCCTAGCTAAGTGTGATAAATTGCAGATATGTCAGAAAGAAATTAATATTTAATACGATCTACTATGTGCCAGATACTCTAATAGGCATTCTCACAGATCTTATCTAATTTAATCGTTTCAACAATCTTGTACGCTGAGGATTTTCATTACTTATAGATGCGAGAGATGAGGCCCCGTAACCTTCAGCTTTTGGCCAAAGGCCAAAGAGCTAGAAAGTGCTGGGCTGGGATTATATTACAGGACTTCTGCTTTGTATTCATTTTCTGCTCATCACAGGTAAATTAACTATCCTTTCATGCTAAAGAATAAGAGGCCTTGTCCAGAACACAAAGAAGAGTGAGTTTCCTTTCTTTTTTGCTTCACTAAGGAAAAAGAAAAATTTACAGATTCCCCTATTGCAGCAAATAAAACAGGTGGCATAATGCAAATGTCTTAGGATGCATGCTGGTTCCTCTAGATAATAGACTTTGGGTGATATCTTTATTCCCCTGATTCTCAGGGTCCTTATCTACAAAATAAAAACAGAAGTAAAACCACTGGATTATGAGGCAATGAGATAATGTTTAATGGATCACTGTAAACTCTGCAGTAACATGGCCATATAAAATGTATAACTGTTATAATTTTGTTCATAGTTTAAAAGTTACCATTTTATAAATCACAAACTTGAATGTAAAAACTTACAGCCATAAAACTTTTGGAAGAAAACAGAGAAGAAAATCTTTGTAACCTTGGTTTAGGAAAACATTCGTTAGACACAGCACTAAAAGTATGTTCTGTAAAAGAACTGTTACTTAAAGTTGGAACTCTTCACAATGGAGAACAATTGCTCTTTGAAAGACATTGTTAAAAGAAGCAAAAGACAAGCAATAGCCTGGGATAAAATATTAGCCAAACACAAAACGTTGTTCAGAACAACAATAGAGGGGGGGAAATAACTCAATAAAAAACAAGGAAAATATTTGAATATTATGAATACCTCACCAAAAAAGATACAGGGATGGCAAAAACTATTAAAACAACTCAGTGTCAATAGTCACTAGGGAAATTGTTTTAAACCACAAGATAGTACTATACACCTACGAGAATAACTTAAAAAAAAAAAAAAAAACTTGACAATACCAACCATCTACTTACCATGACTCAGCAATCCTACTCTGTATTTACCAGAGAGAAATCAAAACCTATATTTGCACAAAAACCTATATGCAAGTCTTTATAGCCACTCTACAGCCAAAACCTTGACACTATGCAAATGTCATTCAACAGGTGAATGGATAAACAAACAAGGGAAATTACTCAGCAATGAATAGAGTGGACTGCTCATACATGCAACATGGGAGACTCTCAAGTGCGTGTTCCTAAGTGAAGGAAGTTGGACTCAAAATGGAACATATTATGGACATTCTGGAGAGGGTAAAACTTCAGACACAGAAAACAGATCAGTGGTCACCAAGGCTTGGGACTGGAGAAAGAGTGACTACCCAGGGGTTTGTGAGAAGTCTCTAGGCTGTTAGCGCTGCTTAGCACTTGGAGTGGGGGTAAGGGGGAGTAGCATCACTGCTCGCCTCTGTCACAACTCAAAGAACTGCAGATGAAAAGGGGTGAATTTTCATTCACGGAAGTTACACTTCACTCTGTCCCTAAAATATGATACTGCCATTTTGGATGCATATTTCTGCATTTCTCCTGAAGGAGAATCTCTCTGCTTCCCTTCCTCCCCTCCTCCCGCCCTGACACACACACGCTGGTTATAATGACAGTCTCCAGCAAGGGGAACTGGGGGATTGGGAGAAGATGCAATGTTCATAACATACCCACAGTGCTGTTTGAATTCTTTATGTCAGGGCACGGTATGAATTATCTAGAAAGGAATGAAAACATTCACAACTTCCTGTGGGAGCTGCCTGTCCCTTCTCCAAGGCCTTCTCAGCTACTCAAGGAGCTCAATGGTGGGATTTATGGGCCACATTGCAGCTGCTGAGGGGTCTTCTTGGCTAAAGGTGGGAAATTTCATGTTTTTTTATAGATCAATTCACGATAGCTAAGACATGGAATCCACCCAGATATCAATCATCTATTGACTGGATAAAGAAATTATGATATATATACACCGTGGTGTACTACTCAGTTGTAAAAAAGAATGAAATCCATGAGGTCAGCACTGTGGCATAGTGGATTAAGCCGCCACCTGCCATGCCGGCATCCCATATGGGCGCTGGTTCAAGACCTGGCTGCTCTACTTCCTGTCCATCTCTCTGCTATGATCTGGGAAAGCAGTAGAAAATGGCCCAAGTCCTTGGGCCCCTGCATCCACGAGGGAGACCCAGAAGAAGATCCTAGCTCCTGGCTTCAGATTGGTGCCGCTCTGGCCGTTGTGGCCAACTGGGGAGTGAACCAGCGGATGGAAGACCTCTCTCTCTCTGCCTCTCTCTCTGTAACTCTGACTTTCAAATAAAATAAATAAATCTTAAAAAAAGAGAAACCTGTCATTTGCAACAAAGTGAATTCAACTAGAAACCATTATACTTAGTAAAATAAGCCAGTTGCAAAAAGACAAATACCGTATGTTTTCCCTGATTGGGAGTTACAGAGTACCAACAATGTATGGAAGTCAAGCTGACATTTTGAGATACAGTGATTACATGCAGCCCTTGTCTCTACTGTTGAGGAACAGTGTTTTTTCCTTTATACTATTTGCTGAACTCTTCACTTAGTATAGGGTTAATCTTATGAGTATAAAGTAAAAAGTAGATCCTTATAAAAATTCAGAGAATAAGAGAGGAAGGACGAGGAGGGATGAGAGCAGAGGAGAGAGAGGGTAGAGTGGGAAGTATCACTATGTTCCCAAATCTGTACATATGAAGTACATGAAATTTGTATACCTTAAATACAGTTACAAAAAAAAAAAAAAAAAAAGGTGGGAGGTTTACTTGATCTTTTCCACTCAGCTCTGGAATCCAGACAGTGGATTCTGAAGTTCTGATGACTCTAAACTGCATGAGTTCTTCCCAAGAACAACTGTCCTCTCCTGTGCCTCCCTGTGTTATGAAGGTGACATCTTCAGCAGCATCTGATCATTTGTTCATATTCCTGTTTCCACTTCTGCACCGCCTCTACAATACTGCCAGCGTCAGCTTCCAAAACCAAAATCACTCCACTCCTCTGCTCACAGGCATCCCTTTGCTTTCAAATTCCTTCCACCTTGACCCCAATCTGTCTTCCCATTTCATTCTTCTGCTCAGCTCCTGCCATGCTCAAAGCAAGAGTAAGCATTTCACTCTTCCCTGAATCTGTCTTTCAGAAGTTTCTATCTTGTGTGTGCGTCTCTCTCCATGTGAAGGAGACTCTCCTGCCTCACCCATTAGCTAAATGATCACACCTGAAGACCTGGCTTCACTATCACCCTCTGTGAAGTCTTGAGAGTCCCACACCCCATACAGTTCCTGCTGAGTTCCCTGTGCTCCTGCAGGACTGGATTTATAGCACTTGGAGGTCATTTAGCATAATATATTCTAACTTTTCTGTTCCAGGGTCTGATTCCACACCTAGACATTGAGCTACTGGAGGGCAAGGCCCAAGGCTTATACACCTCTGGCAGAGCAACAGCGACATGAATGGTTGGCTCCTGCTTTTTACATAATAGTGTATGCATGAATGTGATGTGCGTGCACACACATGCAATACATGTATCTCAGATGACAATTTGTGTTCCAATGTCATTTACATAGAAATTAAGGAAGAAACAGAAATATACTTTGACCCACCAGCAGGCACCCCCAATGAATGTCTTACCATCCTGGAATGTGTCATTAATCGCAATGACAGCCTGGAAGGGTTTGGTCAGTTCGGCTCCTTGTGCTGAGCTGAGGAAAACCACGAATGTCTCCAGTCCCTCAATGACTGGATACTGAGTATCATCCAAGATAGTCAAGGTGCAATGCTAGAAGAGAAACCAAAACAAACTTTACCGAGGAACCCAGCACCCAGTACACGTTTGCCCTCGGGAGACGGGGACAAAGTGGCCACTTGCCTTTCTTCTAGCAAGGTATCTTATAAATCCATAAAATGATCATCTCTTGACTACACACCACTGATGGTTTGTGTCCAGGTATTTACATCAAACTAGTGTGGTTTCTAACACTGGGTATATGACACTCTAAAAGTCCCTGGGAGTGCTTAGATTTCCTAAGTTTATTCCTTTGTCTGGCTCTTTATGGTTTTAAACGATCTGGCGATAGCCAAGGAAAAGCCACAGTCTTCCGGGGGTTTGATGAACTCACTGAAGATTTTGGCTGGTTTCAGACCCATCTGGCCCAGTGACTCACTCTGTGGTGCTCTGACTGCTGTGTACCCACCTGCTCGGTGGCACCAGGCCCAAACTCCACCTTCCTAGAGCTGGGCACGTAGTCGACACCTGGAGTGGCAGAAGCTGGGTCCGAGGGTCGCGTGGCGCACCAGACAGACGTGAAAGTGGAGAGGTCGGTTCCATGGCGGATAACCGGAATCTTTACTGTGCCTGAATCGTGATTAATAGAGACTTTCATGGTCAACCCTGCCACAGAAACTCAATGAGGTTTTCAGAACAACATTCTGCCTGTTACAGTACAGCTTTGTCCCCTTCAACTTAAATCATCCAACCCCAGCGATGAAGCCCCCACACACCTGCAGAGTTAGACTGAGAGACATCATGACCCTGTTGTCAGCAGACACCAAGGTCAAGGACAGACCTAGAGAGCCAGGGAGGGAGTGGTGAAGTCACAGCCCTGAGTGGAGAGTGGTCTCATGGCCTTACAAAGGACACTCTGCACTGGAGCAGAACATTTTACTTGGAGGAGAAAGAGCCACTGAAAACCATCTCAATCCTCTTTAGAGAGAAGAAGCTCAGAGACTAAGGCCACAGCTAGAAATCAGTGGGGAGATGCTACGGGGGAAGCTGGATGTTCTTGCTCAAATCCCTTTTTTTTTTTTTTTTTTTTTTTTTTGGACAGGCAGAGTTAGAGAGAGAGAGAGACAGAGAGACAGAGAGAAGGTCTTCCTTCCATTGGTTCACCCCCGAAATGGCCGCTATGGCTGGCGCTGTGCCAATCCAAAGCCAGGAGCCAGGTGCTTCCTCCTGGTCTCCCATGCAGTTGCAGGGCCCAAGCACTTGGGCCATCCTCCACTGCCTTCCCAGGCCACAGCAGAGAGCTGGACTGGAAGAGGAACAACTAGGACAGAATCTGGCACCCCAACTGGGAGTAGAACCTGGGGTGCCGGCACCGCAGGCAGAGGATTAGCCAAGTGAGCCGCGGCACCAGCCCCTGTTCAAATCTTAATTGGGTTAATGTTTCCTATGTTCTCCAAGTGGCACCCACATCATTACTGAAACCATAAATGCTACTGCTTATTTTTAGATTAAAATTTTTTAAAGATTTACTTATTTGTTTGAAAGGCAGAGTTAGGGAGAGAAGGAGAGACAGAGGGATCTTCTTCCACTAGTTCATTCCCCAGATGGCCTCAATGGCTGGAGCTGGGGTCTGTCATCCCCCATGGGGATGCAGGGACTCAAGCACTCGGGCCATCTTCTGCTGCTTTCCCAGGTACATCAGCAGGGAGCTGGATAGGAAGTGGGGCAGCAGGGATTTGAGTCAGCATACATATGGGATGTTGGCACCACAGGTGGCAGTTTTACCTACTATACCATAGTGACATTCCCTTAAAGCTTTTTAATTTGATCTATTCAAAAGGCAGAGACTGGGGCTGGCCTATGGCATAGCAAATAAAGCCGCCACCTGCAGTGTCGGCATACCATTTGGGCGCCGATTCAAGTCTTGACTGCCCCATTTCCAATCCAGCTCTCTGCTATGGCCTGGGAAAGCAGTGGAAGATGGCCCAAGTCCTTGGGCCCCTGCGTTCATGTGGGAGACTGGGAAGAAGCTCCTGGCCCCTGGCTTCAGATCCGTGTAGCTCCGGCCATTGTGGCCAACTGGGGAGTGAACCAGCGGATGGAAGACCTCTCTCTCTCTGCCTCTCCTTCTCCCTGTGTATAACTCTGACTTTCAAATAAATAAATCTTTAAGAAAAAAAAAGGGAGAGGGGCAGAGGTAGAGGCAGAGGCAGAGGGAGAGGGAGACCATGACATAGAGAAAAAGAAAGGGATCTCCCATTTGCCAGTTTACCCTACAAATGCCCAGAAGAGCTGAGGGTTGGCCAGACCAAAGTAAGAAGCCAGGAACTCCATCCAGGTCTTTCATGAGGGTGGCAGGGACCCGATTAGTTGACCCATCACCTGTTACCTCCAAGGCATCAGATCAGAGCTAGAACTCAATCCTAGGTGCTCTGATATGGGATGTGGGTGCTGAACTGTGATACCAAACTCCCACCTCTTACTGCTCATTTAAGGAACAAATATCATCTTTTGGTTCAGTGTGACATCCTGCTTTGTCATGTCCTAAAGATATTTGTTTTCACGTTCAGAGAAAAGTGCACATGTTAAACCCCATCACCATGTTTTTCAAGCCAATAAGCTGTGAGGTGAGCTGGAGTCGGGACTGAGCAGTTGGTGGATGGGAGAGGTGTACAGTTCAGTAGAAAGATCAGGGTTCTAATCCAGCTCGGCCATTCTAGTGGTTGTTGAGTCTTTGATTTCCTTAACTCCTCTAGGTCTCTGCTTGCTCTTCTCTGGGAGATTGTGTCTTCCATGGAAGATCAAGTGAGGACACATGGAACACACCCGGAATGGTGCCTGGCATTCAGTTCATGCTCAAAAATATTAGTTCCCAGTATCTGTGAGAATCCCTCCAAAGAGGGAAAGGCCCTGGGCTGGCTCAGATCAGCAGATGCTCAGCACAGCTGCTGCCCTGGGGTGTATCTCTCAGCAACAAACGGAGGTCTTGGAGATGCCTAGGCAGACACAAGGGGGAAGGAGCCAATCCACCAGGGAGAAGATGCCTGCCCACCGGCTGCTTAGGGATGTCACATGAACGAGACTGCCACTGTGCCCCGAGCTGAGCCTTTGCCGTGTATTGTCTCAGCAGCCAGCAGGACACTCAGTGATGCACCTGTGTCCTCAGCAAATCAAACCCCTCTCCCTTTCACAAGTCAAATGCTTAGCACCAGGAACTCCTACCGGGCCACAGAAGTCAGCCCGTGGAGCTCTAAGTCAGCTCCTTCCATGCCCTCAATAACCAGACAGGGAAAGTGGAAGGAACTCCCTATTCCCCACTACGTTCCATTCTTGGTCTTGATGTCCAGCATTACATATGCCTCAGACCAACAATGGTGTCACTGAGAAATGACCTTCTCAGAGTCTCAACTGTCCACGGAAGCAATCCGGAAGCCCAGAGAGGCTGTCCGTTACCTGCATCCTCACTGACAGTGAAGGCTGTGTTGCCCAGGGAGACTGTGGAGGCATCATTGGGACCGCTGATGAGCACCTTGGCGGTCGCCACCCTTCCGACGCGGGCGTTGTCGGAAGCATCGGCCAGGGCAATCTCAAATTCCTCTTCCTCTTCATACTCGCTGTCGTCAATGAGCATGACGTCACAGGTGGACATGGTCACACCAGGCCCGAAAATCACCCGACTCTCAGCAGTCCTCCCTCTGGATTTAAAATCAGAGCCCGATTCTAAAGCGTGGAGGCTGCTTCCCAGAGCCGATTTAGGCACCGTGTAGCAAACTGCAGACACGATGCTGCTCGAATCTCCTGAAATACAGATGGCAACAAGATCAGAGCGTTGGAGAGAGCACCCTTCAAATCCTGAGATCCCTCGTAACGCACTGAGCTTGGTGCCCTCAGACACCTGCCATCCTGTTTCTCTTCAGGCTCTGATAGGAAACCTTTCTGAGTTGCAGTTTCTTTGAAGCCTCTGGTGGGTTTACTAAACACCAGCTACTTCACCAAATAGCTTACCATGGATTTCCTAGTCTGTGCTGTTTGTGCTCTGTTAACTCACAAGACTCACTGCCCGCCATCCAAGACCACAGTGCGTGGAGAGAGAAGAGACACATTTGGTACTTTGAGTATCATTGTAATTGTGTCCTGAAGGTAGTGTTTTGAGTACAGTTCCCTGCCTTTGTGAATAAACTTCTGCACTTTAATTCCCAGGGAGAAGCAAGCTTGTTTACCAAAAAGAAAGACAAAACAAAATACAGCCTGCCTTTCTGTACCAATGGCTTTATTTAAGAGTTCTGCCATTTCTCTCAGTTGCCAGTCTGCTCTGAGCCTGGCTTGGGGGCTCAGAGCAATCAAGGGGGCTTGCTTGTTTTCCAAGAGGCATTACCAAGGGTTTGTGCTATCCACAATATTTGTTACATGGATATTCAGTCAGCAGAGTCAATAAAAAATCCTGACATTATCATTTATAGTCATGTGGCTTTGAATGGAGATTTAATTTCTACCCATTTTAAAGTCTCGATATTGCACATCATAAATCCATAGATCTTCATTTTGATTTTCAGCCCCTGAAGAATTGCTCTTTATTTCTTGCACGCATTTTATTTCATGTTTGAGCTCCATCTATGACACTCACGAAGGGGAATCTTTAAGCACGTTTTCTGTCCTCTGAGAACTAAGATGGGAAGCTGGTTCTTAACAAACTATAACTTCCCTCCTTGACCAAGGTTACTAAATATTTTATGGATTGGGTGATTGATTAAGAATACTCAGTTCATGAATAATTTGTAGGGCTAAATATAACCAGTCTTCTAGTCTAATTTAAGAATAAATGGGTGCTCTAACAACTTGGACTAAAAAGAGAGGCCTTCTGCGAGGACTCACTGTGTAACAGAAGCACTATTCGGGTTGTTTTGGGGTTGAATGAATGAATACGTATAAAGTACTTACACACAAATTAATATGCGACACGAGTACCTGGCACACAAAAGGGACTCAAGAAACGTTAGCTCTTATTATAGCTCCTCGTCACCTCTGGCCCCAACAGACCTTTTCTTTCAATAGGTGCAAACAGAAAACCAGCACTCTCGTTGACCCGGTAGGTCTTCTTATCAAACTCTAATGTGGGTTCGTCCTCAGTGTCATCGATAATGACCTTCGCCTGGGTGAACTCCCCTAAGAGGGCGTACGCTGGCATGCTGAGCTCCACAGTGAAACTCTCAACATTCTCAAACACGTCGTCATCGTTGATGACGATGGTGCAGGACTTGGTGTCCTCTCGTTCGTCAAACTGCACCTGTCGCAAAGCGAACACCGAGAAGTCAAGCTGTGCCTCAGCTTCCCCTGGTCTGATGCCCCAGAATGCCATAAGAAAAAGTCATGCAAGTCCAGTGGGCAGACCACTGACCACATTCTTTGAGCCCCCCAACCTCCCATGCTATCACCTGCAGCATGTAGTCATCTCTTCCCACTCTTCTCCCGTGCACTGGGGTTGACTCATTGGATAGGGACATGGAACACAAAGGCATCGCCCACCATGTGGTGACAGAAGGAAAACATGGCCACTGTTTCTCTCTTGTTTTCTTAGCTATCTTAGGACAGCAACAGTCATTATTTGACTGCTCAGTTTCCCGTCTTTCTGTGGCAAATTTAACAGGAAAGATCTCTGGCCTCAGAGTATAATGTTCTGGCCTCGGGTCCTGGTTCTGTTTCTTCCAAGCTAGGTTAGGTTATAAAACTTCACAAACATTGGATTCTCCACCAACACAATAACAATAATATGCCCACTAGTGCTAAGTGCATTTTAAAGCACTGAACAAGCGTGAGATAGCATTGAAACCATTACCATATTGCATATATAATTAAAATTGACATAGAATCTCATTGTACTTAGTGAGGTTTGAATTCACAGAAAGTTACATTATAAACAATCCAGGCTAATTTTAACCTTTTATCTGACTAAATCTTTTGCCATTAAAATGGGATAAAACTATGTGAATGAACTTAGCCTGTTACAAAACAGGGAAATTATTTTATATTTACACAACTGTGAATTTATAGGGATTTATTCTGGTTTTGTCTAAAAAAATATGAAAAGATGAAAACCTTCGAGTGAAACCAAAATCTAGAGAGCAGGAAGTGGATGGACTGTGCTTTGTAGAAGCTGAGACAGTTGAAACATGTGAAAAAAATAATCATAAACCGCCAAAGATCACACACATCTGCAAAGCATTATTATTAGCGCAAACCCAAACAACTAATTTAATTAAGCTTTACTAAGCTCCATATTTCAAAATACCCCCAACAAAAGGAATAATATCTAGAATCCACTGATGGCTTTTAGTTTTTCTTGGAAAATGAAGAGCAGATTTGGTTTTATTTTACTAAATCTCTTTGGCTTGTCTGTTCTTTCATACTTCTTAACTTTTTTTTTTTTTTAAGATTTTATTTATTTATTTGAGAGGCAGAGTTACAGACAGTGAGACAGTGAGACAGAGAGACAGAGAGAAAGGTTCTGCATCCACTGGGTCACTCCCCAAATGGCCACAACAGCCAGAGCTGGGCTGATCTGAAGCCAGGAGCTTCTTCCAGGTCTCCCGTGTGGGTGCAGGGGCCCAAGGACTTGGGCCATTTTCTATTGTTTTCCCAGGCCATAGCAGAGAGCTGGATCGGAAGAGGAGCCAGGACTATACCTAGCACCCATATGGGCCCTTTGTTCTAATTCCTCAAATAAATTGGATGCTAGAGGCCTTGGGTTTCTCCAGCTGAAATGCCTCAATTAAGGGGCAGAAACTCCTCCACTTGACAGAGAGTGGCATTGTCAGAAGGATAATAAAATCGCTTTGAAAAAACATTGACTAAATACCTAGAAAGTGCCAGACACTGACACTGTGCCCTACATACAAGGAGACAGACACAGGGCCCTTGCTCTAAGGGTCTTGACTATTCAAGTTCTTTCTCTTTTCCTTTTACTCTTTTTTCTCATTGCCAACCTGCCACTAATTACCAATGGTACATACAAGGGGACTTCAAAATGATTGTGAGAAAGATGGAATTCAAAGATAATATGCATTTTTCATGAACTTTCTGAAACACCCATATAGATGACTTGCAGATTTCTCTCTCTACCATGGATTCTTTGCTGGCCTCCTTATCCATCTACAGAGTGGTCAACTGGTTCCTAAGGCAACTGGCACTCAACATGTCCAAGGCAGTCACAAGCACCAAAGCTTGCCAAATAGGATCTCCCCATGTGTTTTCTCCTAGCAAGAAGCATCTGCATCCAGCTCTCCTTTCTGGCCCACTATCTGATCCTTTGCTAAGTCCAATCAATGCTCGGTCATTAGTTGACTCCATCCAGTGCTCTCGAACTTCACATAGTAATTGAAACCCAACTTCCCATCATGTCTCACCTGGCCTATTCCAAGAGTAACCCAACTGCTCTGTATCCTTTCCTCCCTCCCTTTAGGTAAGGAAGGTGAAGGGAAAGGAAGGTTTAGGATACCAATGGCTCAGTGTAGAATAGGATGCCTTGGAGCCTTGTTTTTGTCACGAAGTAAAATGCAAAGACTGAGAAGCTAGGTGACAGTGTAAACTTTGGCAATTTAAAGTATCAACGGGATTAAACAGACTGAAAGAATAAAGCACCATGGGAAGAAGATGTAGGAAAATTACTTAAGGAAGGATGCGGGTGGGAAGGGAGTAGAGTAGAATGAAGTGGGAAGGTGCCACCATGGCCTGTAACCACACCACAGCCCTTGCCACAGCTTGCCTGGCATTCCAGGAATTAGAGGTCCATCTGCCCCTACCTGGCCAGCATACTCCACGTAGTCCTGCTGTCCAGGCTGGGAGCCAACCCTGGAGCTGGATTTCGCAGTGCCTTGCTCGGTACGACACAGGACGATGGCATACTGGTTCAGGTTCCCAGTCCTCTGCACGGTAACACTCACAGACCCTGCCTTCTCACTGACGTTGTAGCTGGAAGCACACAAAGAAGCAGTCAATGAAAACCTGCCCCATGGCCTGTTCAATGCCTGTCTCTTCTGCATGGTTACTGATGTCAGATAGTTCAGAGAAGAAGTAGTTTGGTTCTGTTAAGTCAGGTTGTAAATTGAGGGAATGTGTACACCTGGAGCAATCAGCGTACCACGTGAATGTAGAGTATCACCTGCCTCGTTGTGAAAGCAAATAGAGAGTCATTCAGAAGACGGATGGCTCACAGGAGCCATGAACTTCAGACTGCACAACATAAGAAACTACAAACAATCACCCCCTGGGGTGGTAATCAGAGCAGGTCAGGGGGTTCTTAGGGAAGAAGCCTGCTCAAAGGCAATTAATGACTTAGTTCAGGTGGGAATGGGCTGGGATAGATCCCCAGGAAGGGAAACAGGGCAGTGCCAGAGGTAAGAAAATTAGAGATGACGTCGCTAACAAAGGTGTTTAGACAAGTGGAGCTTTATGACAATGAGGGAAAGACAGGATTCATTTAGCTTGCTGCTGAAAAGTCATATTGCTTTTCAAAATTGGAGGCCAACCATATGAAATAATTATGTGGGTCTGGAAAAGCCACAGCAAGTGGGGCATGCACTGGGCTTGTTTTCCATCACTGAGGATGGAGACTGGACCCAGTTTTTGTCTTGTGGTTGGGAAGGCTGTAGGCAAAGTGTCATGTCAACTATCTTACTATTTAGTCCATTAGCTATTAGAGAATTATCCAGAAAGAGTGATCAGTTTTGAATTTATTTAATTCTGAAATAGAAACAGTTAAAAGGTAAATAAGAGCAACATTACATACACAAAAGATTCTAATTTCCCTCTAATTCTCCAAATGTATGGAAGAGTGGAATAGACTCTACATATATAACACAGGAAGTTGAGTCTGTCTTTCCTCTGATTTCCAACTGTCATCTGAATTGTCATAAAGTTCACTTCTTAGAAATAATGAGTCCCCAAAATGTAGATTTAAAGAATTTGTACCCCCAGAAAAATTATACCCATAGTTATAATTTGACCTGTAATATCAGCATAATGCTTGCTCACCATCATTATATCTGTTTGCCTAACTCCCCAACAGATTAGGTAAGCATCTTAAAGAGCTGTCAGTATTAGTAATGAGTGTGCCCCTAAAGACATATGATCCTAGGAAAACCAAAGAAGCTGGAGAGAATGCAAATTTGGGAACAGGGAGATGAAGGTAGAAGGTGAGGACGTTGCAGGTGAGGGCCAGTGGTTATTTTTAGGAATTGAATGCCTATTTTTTTATTTTTTCCATCAGTTATCCTTAGTTTTATACACACACACACACACATATATATTTAAAAATTATTTATTTATATGAAAGGCAGGGTTTGTAAGAGAGAGAGAGAGGGAGAGTGGGGGGTTAGGAGAGAGAGGGAGAGGTCAGTCTTTCATCTGCTGGTTCATTCCCTAAATGGCCACAATGGTCAGGGGTGGGCCAGGCTGACCCAGGAGCCGTCAGCTTCCTCTGGGTGTTCTATGTGGGTTCAGGGGCCCAAGCACTTGGCCGTCTTCTGCTGCCTTCCTAGGAGCATTAGTAGGGAGCTGAGCTGGAAGTAAAGCAGCTGGAACAAGAACTGGCGCCCACATGTGATGTGGACATTTCAGTTGGCAGCTTTACCCACTATGCCACAAGGCCGAACCATTAAATATCATTTAAAGCTGGAACACAGATGCAGAAATCCTTGTACGAGAGGCAGTAAAGTACAATGGTTAAGACCACTGGGCTCAACTCCCAGTCTTACTGCTTACTCACTGTGTGACTACGGGCCTTTGCTGAACTTCTTTCTGTTGTTATTGCTTTGCTGCTGTGAGGACAAGAATAGAGTCCATCTAAAATTATGAGTATTAAATGAGATGATGATGTTAAGTACCTGGTACTGTGGCCGATACATATAGTATTTAATATTTGGTGCGATTATTATTTTTATTATTGTTACCATGGCATCACTATCACCACCATTATCAGCAGCAGCAGATGACTAGAACTCACCCCTAAGGTGCTTTATCCTGATTCCCTCTGCTCGCCTGATTCATTTCTCAGGGATAAACACACCCTAACATCAGTACCTGGTATATTTAAAGCTGATGAGGGACCACTGGATATGGAAGACATTGTCGCTGACCACGTTGGGTTTACTGTCTCTCACCAGGAACTGGAAACTGTCCATCATCTCATGGATCTTCTCTTCCTGCAACACGTAACGAATCAACCCCAAGTTCACATCCTCTGTGAGAAAAAAAAGACCAACTGTGAATTAATCCAGTCAAGGCAACCACAATACTCCCAGACAAACACAGCCAACTTATTCTGGTAATGGGTTACAGACAGAACTTTTCACAATAGTAAGAAGTAGAATCTTAAAAGGAAAAATTTCTGGCAGATTTTAAAATGAAATCCTGCAGCTCAGTGTAACAAAAGACCTGTCTTTATGTACAGAAAGCACTCGTGCGGTTGTAAAATGAGAATCTCAGGGCCTTGACCAAAAGCACTTCAGTAAACAGCTGCGGAATGTGCAAGTGCACTCCAAGAGTTGACACAAGGAAGGCTTGGAGCCCTATGTGCAGCCTCACATCCGGCCCTAATTCCTTCTAAAGAAGGTTCTTGGGAAGGTATGTGCTAATAAGAAAAGCTTGGGTTGGATTAAAACACACATACAAGGCAGAGACAACAAGGCGCCAGGAGAGAACACCCGGCTGAATGTAGGAAGGAAGGGAGAACACGGATCATGACCTGTGAGATGCAGTGGTAAGATGACTGCTCCCAGGCAGGCCCAGGAGCAGAAGTCTAGAAGAGCATGACAAGGTTATAAGCAACTAAAATACAAAAGGGCCTGCTTGCTGTGATTCACAACAGGAACAGGTTTGTTGAGCAATCTCTGCATGCTGATTTTAAATTCTTGGCTAAAAGATCAAAAAAAAATGTATAATCCATAAGGCACAAAAAATAAACCATATAGGATCACAGACCTTTCATAAGATTTTTTTTTTGTCTATTTGTCTTTAAAGAAAACCAAGCAGTATCGTATATCCTTTCTAGAAAACCTGGCCCAAATCTAAAATTAGGAAGCATGGTAAAATGAGTTTTTCCTGCCATAGTTTAGAGTAACAGGGAAAAAAAATATCAGGAGGACTAAAATTCATAAGTTAGATGATTAGACACTGCAAGATCTATTTATTTGCAAATAGGTTACTTAGGAGTAAGTAGCTGGAGTTGGCCATAAGAAAGATCAGGGAGACTGCAGGATGACACTGGGAGAGGTTTCTCCCATATCTGAGTTCCTCAAGTCCCCACCCTGGGTAAACGTCGTGGTAGCTCTGCCAGGCTGCAGCTTGTTCTCCACGTAGCCATGCCTGGGGCCCATGGTTATCTCATAGACAAGCTGTGGGTCCTCTGTGTCTGGGTCCATGGTCAGCAGTTCCTTCTTGGTGATCAAGTTGGTTGCCTGGAATAGAAACCCATTACATTTAATTCCTGGAGTGGGAATAAAGCAGGAACCAGGCCCTCTGACTCAGATTGAATTCAGCTCAACTTTGATTTACTCAGTGCAGCTGCTGCATGAGAGATTCTGTCAGAATTGGACAGGTTGTGAGGATGGACAGTAGCCCAGCACTCACACCTTATTTGGAAAGAAAGGTTCATGAGTAAGGTCAATGTGGTGAGAGCTATCATGGACATATAAAGAGGGCGCTATGGACTTTTTGGGAGAGAGTAGGGAGAGGGAGAGAGACAGAGAAAGATTAATTCTACTTGGTGTTGAGGAAAGAGGGATTTGAGACAGTGGGCTTTGAGTCTGGCCTTGAAAGAAGGTTGCAGCTATGGAAAAATGAGCTCATACGGAGATGATGGCCACTTTTACCTTCCAGGAGTCACCTGCAATACTTGAAATCAGGTAATTTCAATGCTTGAAATGGAGTAAGATAAATATTTCTTACCCCATTACTGCCCAAATATACTGGCTAAGCTTTAATTCACTCATTCACTCATTCATTCATTCAACAAATAACTGGGAGGGCAGAGGTTTGAGAAAAGGAAGGGAGTGGTCAACAGTGGGTCTGGTAAGATAAGGACAGATAATCAACCTTTGAATTCTGAGCAATAGAGTCACCGATTACTTAAATCAGAGTTACTGAACAAGGGGAGGAATGGGAGGTAGAAGCCCAGGTGGAGACTGCTGAGAAAAGAATGGGATCATTCTGAACAGGTAGCAGGTAGGGGGAGAAAATAAAATAAATTATCAGAGGAATTTGCTCCAGTTTTATTTCACATATTTTAAGATCCCCAGCCAGTTCAGTGGGAACCTATGGTGTGACAGCTACACATACAACCAACTAATCAGTTCCACGGAGACGCCAGCTGTCCAAGAGGGAATACCACCCACCAAAGTGAGAAATCAGCTCTCAACTCAACTCAAGACCTGTGTGTGTGTTTTCAGGTGGGGATGTGGCTTTGGTGTCTGGCATGCTGCCAGGTGAAAATTAAGGCCTATGCCTTAAAATGACCAAGTGGGGAATTAGGAGAAGGAGAAGGAAATTTCTAAAGTAGAAATCCTCTGAAGGCACTCACCTACAAAAATGCACACTTCTTTTCTGCCTGGGGAAGATGCTAGATGCTTCCTGAAGTCCATCTTGCCATTCTAGTTCACAAGGTTACAGTTGACTCCAGCTGAGTGCAGCCTGACCAGCTAGAGAGTTATTTCCCAGACTCCCATGCAACATCTGAGACCACATGACCAACTATTGGCCAACAGAATATGAGCACAAGTGATTTCTCTATCGTTGATTGAAAGGAAGTTGCTTGTCTTTTACTTCTCTGCTTTCCCCTCCCTTTGGGCTGGAATAATGATACATTTCTGAAGACATCCAGCCATCTGGTCAACAGCAACAACCCATGAAGGCATTTGCATTTCTGAATGGTATGTAGAGCCCTACATTACTCATTTCCCTTGATCTTATATATATGGGGGGAAAAAACCTTCCAACTTGCCTGAAATACTACACATTGTTTTTTGTAACAGCATCTTAAACTATACAAGGTACTTCAAAATGTTCATGGAAAATGGAATTAAAAGATAAGTTTGCTTTGGTAAAAAATAAATGTATAGCTTTTTCATGATATGTATTTTCCATGAGTGTTTTGAAGACCTGTCCTATGCATAGATTTCAAAACTATTTTGCACCAAAATAAACATACTATTTAATTGCATTTTCCATGAACTTTTCCAAGTATCTTCATGCACTACCCTCCCTGATCTAGACAGTCTTAGCTAATAAACAATCCTAAGCAAAGTCATAGGGCTCACTCATCTTGGGAAAATCAGTTGACATAGGGAGGTGCTGAACTAGAATGGAACTAGAGTTCTATTCCTTGCAGTGGCCCAAGCTGGGTAGGGTCAGTGTGGCAGATGGGTCCAGCCTTACCTTGCCATCCATATACTCCAGCCACTGGAGGCCCAGGTTGGTGACAATTCTAGGGGTGCCATCATCCACTGGCAGGATGTCTACTCGGAACTGCTGAGGTGCCGCCGTCCGGATCTGTAGGGAGGTCAGAAGAGAAAGCTCATCAATCCCAGGCACCCTAAAGAGGTCGGGCCAGGACCTACAGACCGGAAGCTCTGAAGTCTGCTGACCCTGCAGAGGGGAAGAAGGGGCAGTTGTGCCCGTTCCCAAGCCTCATCACCTTGGGGCAGAGGCCTCAGGGAGCACGCTGAGTGACAAATGTGGGAGAGAAGCCAGAAACTCCCGCTGGGCTCTCAGCTGCTACAGAAGTGGGTCTGCCTGCATCTATGCTGTCTTTAGTTGAGGTCAGTACTGCCCAGAGATGAAATAGCACACAGAAGATTTTCCTGCCAGTAATCCTTGCTAAAATTTTCATGAGAGTCTGCTGAAAATCATCATGAAAATATTAATGTCAGAGTCTCCAGGTGGGGGAGGGGTGCCAGCTGTTGTTTCTTTTTCCTATGTTAGTTCTTATTGTTGTTTACATTGAGGGATGGCTATGTGGGGATAAGGGACAATAAGTTTATAATCCCATTCATATACTCTCTCTCTCTCTCACACACACACACACACACACACACTCACTCACTCTCTCACACACACAGAATCTGAGCCATCTCCTAGCTGTTACTGAGTAGGTAGGTAAAACAAGCTGGGCCACGGAGCAGGAAGATGCTGGCTGTTCACTCTCCCACAACCTACCTTCTAAATAATTTACATTTTCAAAATGATACAGTCCCTACGGGGACCTGCTGGGACCTTTTGTTTGGGAAAGTGGCCGCCATCTTACTGACACACGCCAAAATCGTTTTCTCTCCTCTGAAAATCAAGCTAACTGGGGAGCAGCTAGTCTGGCAGAAATAAAACAGATGTGGTGGCCTGCCAGAGGGTGTGGACACACACACACACACACATTTTGCTGACACGGCAGAAAAAATCCCGGGAGCCTGCATGGAGGGGCTGGCCAGCTGAGAGTGACCGGCTCACAGGCTGTGTCCAAAGGACACAGCAGGGTCTTTGTCAAGAAAATCACCATTCATCATCCAAGTGGGAAAAGAGGAGCTAGAAGGTGGGTAAGCTGCTCACTGAAACTGCTCCGCCCAGGCAGCCACAGCTGGGCAGGACAGCAGAGGCTTGGAAAGGTGACTTGACCTATAATGACACTTGGCTTGTGACAGAGGTAGAACTTCAATGAGCACCTTTTGGCCGCAAGAGCCACATTCTTGACCACTGTTGTTGCTCTAAGACTGACAGTCTCTGGCTAGACTAAGGGGACTTAGTTCTAAAAGAGAAACACAATTTAGTAGCACAGGATATTACTGAAAAACCAGATGAGAGAAAAACTCCAGGTGGAAAAGGTGGGCAGACAAAAGAAAAGGAGAACTAGCAGTAGCAGTGGTAACAGCTATCGTGCTATTGTCTTTTGTTGAGTGTTCAACTCTGTCAACGGGGTGAAACACTCTGTGTGGATTGTCTCCCTTGATCCTTAGTCCATTTGAAGCTGATACTTACGGCCATGCCCATTTTACAGATGAAAAAGCAAGACTTAGGGAGGTGATTGGTCCAAGGCTCATCACGAGTAAGTGACCCCACAGAGTGCTGTCCTGTACACATCCCTGCCCTGCCTCTCACACGCAGTGCCCGGCCGCAGCCTCCCCTGTCGTCACTCCTTACCTCTCTCCCTCCTTCCTCGACGATAAAGAATGGGTTTGTGCCATCAGAAACAGTGAAGCTGAACCAGTCTCGGAGGGAGTTGCTTCCATCATGGCTGTAGCTCACGCGCTTCTGGTAGATGTCTTCCATGGTGAAGGTGGAGGCCAGGTGGGAGTGCTGCCCCCTGGAGGTCCGCTCGATGCTGCCATGGCGTGGGGGCTGCACAACGGTGAACAGCACAGACTCCGCCTGTCGGGGGCAAAAGGCACGAGGGGAAGGGAGGTTCACCACACGAGCCGGATGGGGAGCTGACGGCAACAGCTCGTCAAGGGTTGCAGAACCTAAAGATACTTCTAAAATAAGGTTGGCATTTTCTCGTGGCTTAGACTTGCAAGAGGGACTTCAGAAAGTTTGTGGAAAGTGGGATTAAAAGGTACATTCATGTTAGTACGAGAAAGTTTTGAGAGCCGTGCAAAATGTGCATTTTTGGGGTGAGCTTTCTGAAGCTCTCTTATATTTGGGTGCCTTCAGTTTTAAGATTAAAACAGTTAAGTTTGTTATTTTCAGGTCACACAGAGGGGAAAGCCTGGATGACGGGAAATAGACCTTTCCAAACTACTCATTTCCTTTCCATTTTCCCCAAACTCTTATATATGAATCTCATATGCATGTGAACAGAGGCTAATTTTCTCTCATTTTCAATTTCTGCGAAAAATGACCTGTACAAGGAAAAGAAAAAAAGGCATGAAGCCTAGTGGTTTCCCACCAACTTAGACTAAAATGCAAAGGCCTGACCTGCACCACAAAGGTCTGCTATGACCAATCCCCCTCTGGCCTCACTCTCACCTGCTTGCACGTTGGGTTCCAGCCTCTTGGCCTCTTACAACTTTTGTTGCAGTTATTCCCAGGGGCCAAGCATACTTGACCACAGTACCTGCACTGCTGGTTCTACCACCTGGAGAGTGAATTCTCCCATAAGTACAGAGCTTGCTCTTTTACTTGCCGGTATCTCTGCTCAAGGATACCTCCTGGGGGAGGCCTTCAACCGTCTACTTTGTGTAGAACAGCACACCCACCAAGCTCAATTTCTTTTCCCTTCCTTTAGTTTTCTTCATCACAAATCTGATCTGATTTCTTCTCCCTTCCTTTATTATCTTTCCCCCAGCCAATCGTCATAAGCTCTGTAAACCTGGAACTTCATTTGCTTTGTTCATAGCTCTGTCTTTGGCATATGGAGCAAAGCAGAGAACCTAGTAGGCAACAGATATGTGATAAAAGAATTGACAAATGAGTGAGTGCCAGGCACTGAGGCAGGCACACGGAACTAATCAGTTAGTATGTTGGGACTTGCATACTACACACTAATCAGTATGTTGGGATGGTTTTGTGCGAGCTAAGTCACGTTGGAATGTCAGGTACTTTAATCTGGCAGCATCATGAGAATAAGAGCCCTGTTTTACCACATATAGCATTGTCTTTGAGGATGCTGAAATTGTAATGATTGGTTGTCATCCGTGAGGTCTGAATAAAGGAGGTGAGATGGAGGAAAAGTGTACAGATACAGATGGGCCGTGTTCAGTCGAACAGGGAATAAAAACATTGTTAACAATGTCATCTACCTGATTTTTTTTTTTTTTGACAGGTAGAGTTAGAGAGAGAGAGAGGGAGGGAGAGAGAGGGAAAGAGAGAGACAGAGAGAAAGGTCTTCCTTCTGTTGGTTCACTCCCCAAATGGCCACTACAGTCGGCGCTGCACTAATCTGAAGCCGGGAGCCAGGTGGTTCCTCCTGGTCTCCCATGTGGGTACAGAGCCCAAACACTTGGGCCATCCTCCACTGCCCTCCCGGGCCACAGCAGAGAGCTGGACTGGAAGAGGAGCAACCGGGACTAGAACCCAGTGCCCACATGGGATGCTGGTGCCGCAGGCGGAGGATTAACCAAGTGAGCCCCGGCGCTGGCCCCCATCTACCTTATTTTCTATGAAGTGTAATAAAAAATCAACATGGTAAAGGGTCATCGTACTTAGGGAGAGGGTGAGTATGTGCGTATCTAGGATTTTGGAAAGGGGTTAAAAGCAATTCGTTCTCAAAAATAATTACTTTCTCTTTTGCAGAAAGCCATAGTTTCTTCTGTTGTGTTTTTTTTTTTTTTTTTTTTTTCTTCATCCTCCTCGGAGCTTGCAACTACCCTCCCCGCCCAGTGCTATGGATGGGCAGGCTGCGCATGCGCAAAGCAGCAGCTGCCACCAGCTCGGCCTCTCACTCAGCCAGGGAGCCCAGGGGGTGCTCATACCTCAGTGTCCGCATCTACCGCCTGGAGCTCAAACTCTGTGATCGTCTTCCTCACTCCCTCCTGCACTCGCATCCCCGAGTTCTGCACGACCGGCAGCGAGTCATCCACGGGGTGAAGGGTGATGTGGAATGTCTGCGTCACCTAGGATGGCAGAAACGTGCAGGTGGCACACCTGTCCCCAGCACCCGCCCACTGCCCTGAAGGTAGGTGCGCTCTCCATTCTTGGCAGGACGGATTAACCAGACACCCAAAAGTGAGTACTCTTGGGCAAGAGCGCAGGGAAGGAAACTCAGCTCTCACATCTCCAGCTGCCCCGCCCACTGCATTCACGCAAGACAGCGAAGAAGAATCGGTGCCCATCAATGATGGGCTCCAGTGCTGCGCTTACCTCACTGACGCCATTGCTCAGCGTAAAGGTGAAGGCATCGGAATGCTTCTCGGTCTCGCTGGAATGGACATACTGGACATTTCGGGACGTCAGGTCAGCTTGAGTAAAGGAACTAAGCTGGAGACCTGGAGGAAGGGGCAGAAGCGGAGACAGGAGGTTGAAATGCTGGGAGAGCCTCCAAGGCTGGAAACCACCACTCTCGGCAGCTACAGAGCCCCTGGTGTTTTTCCTATAATGCTTCTGTTCTGTTCTGCAAGACCTCATGGGAGAGTTGTTTGTGGATGTTTTACCTACAACAGCATATGTTCCGTGGAGGCAGGTGCTAACCTACTGATGGAGGCATCTGCCGTGTGCTGCGCCCACGGCAGGTGTTCAGTCAACGTTACTCCCTTTTCCCTGGAAGTTTATGTATGCAGGTGAAGTCTGTGAGAAGGGAGATAGATGCCTGGTCCTGCAAACCCCTCTTGCTTAACTTTTTGATTTCCCCATCGCCCCACAGTCCTTTCTGAAAACTTGCCCTACGTTTTAATCCTGTGTGATGGTTTAGATTCTGAACACTCGAGTCACAGGGCTTGGCTGCCCTCAGCCTTGTTTCTGTGATTGGTGAGCTGGCCCTGACCTTCATAATTTCAAGGTTCTTTGACTCTGGCCTCTTATATCCCACATTAGCCAGTCAGGCAGGAACAAAACTTATTGCATGCCTTTGGGGCTCAAGCAATCATTCTACACCAAATTGAAGATGACCTAGAAAACCAGTATCCTTTAATAACATCATAGAGAAAGAGTCATAGGACGGCTTCTCCAGCATCGCTTTAAATCTAAAAACAGGAAATAACTCGAAAGTGATTTTCAAGTAATGACGAGATATTCCACAAATGCATGGGACCTTTATGGTTTTAGATGCCTGACAACATTTAGCAAAATGAGCCCCAGCATTCTTGCTTCTATCATGAGACTACTGGGGCTTATACTTGGCTGTCAGTGGAGATGGAAACAAAATCACCTCTTTTAGTCCCATAGCACAGATTTCTTTTTTCTGATTCTGGGTGTTAGGCTCTTAATCCATTTAACCTGGTTATTTAGCTTGGCCTTAAAAGATCTATTAGCTGTTTTCTGGGATTTATTATTTGCCATTGTTAATCTTGGCGAAATCAGTTTGGCTTTTCTGTTAAAAACAAACGAAGCTTCCACTTTGCTACATATTGAAGTGTGGCTTTCTGGTTAACAAGAGGACATCAGCCTGCATGGTTTACACTTGCATCTCTCGTCAGCCACATATGATAGCCTCCTGGATATGGGGGCATTACTTTTTTGATGAGGCATTTTATATTTCCGTGCTTGCTACCTCCGTTCTTGACAGGCAAGATGTGTATCCCCCTATCTCAGAGCTTTGTCTTGTGACTCTGGATGGAAATCCATACCATTCTTTAAAAATTTAATAACTTGAGACTGGCTGCACTGTGAATTTAAATCTCTTCTCCCTGCTGTGAATCCAGCCTCACAGCTCACAGGGAAACACTTGACTGGATTCGCACAGCCAGCTGGTCACCTAATTCACTGTTCCCTTTACGTGAGTCTGACTAAGAAGGGTGACAGATTTTGCTTTCTTCTTGGGAAGGAAGCTCTGGGATTAATCTTTAAGATTTTTTTTTTTTTAGAAATTGAGATGAAATTGACATATAAGTTGCACATATTTAAAGTGCACAACTTCATAAAGTTTCGCACACTCATGAAACTATCATCGCAGTCAATAGAGTGAAATATGCATCACTCCAGCTTACACTTCAAGATCCTCCCCCACTCCATTCCAAAGCAACTGATGAAGTGCTTTCTGTCCCTGTAGATTAGTAGGCGTTTTTTCTAGTTTTTGGCTAATAGTCGCTATTTTATGTCTGGTTTCTCTCTTGCATAATTATTTGGAGATTTATTCATGTTGAAGCACTCCTTTGTTTAGATTTTTTAGTTTATTTATTTTTATTTATTTGAAAGGCAGAAAGAAGGAGAGAGGAGGAGAGAGGGAGAGAGGGAGAGAGGAAGAGAGAATAGTGATTCATTCCCAGTTGCCCACAATAGCCAGGGCTGGACCTGGGAACTCAACTGGGGTCTCCCATGTGGGTGGCAGGAACCAATCATCTGCTGCCTCCCAGAGTGTGCACTGCAGGGAGCTGGAATTGGGAGCAGAGGCAGGACTGGAACTCAGGCACTCTGATATGGGATGTGGGTGTCCCACACTGCTCTGCCATAATCTGCCCATCCTGAAGCATTACACTTGATTGCTAGGGATATTCTGTTGTGTGGCTTTCTCTCTCATCCTTGTTTATCCATTCACCTGTTGATGGGCATGTGGACTCTTTACAGCTTTGGGCTATTACAAATAAAGCCACTATCATTACTTGTACGCAAGTCTTTGTACGGATGTATGTCTTTACTCTTCTTGGGTAAATCTTTGGGAGAACAGACGGATACATGTTAGGTGTATGCTTAACTTTTGAGGAAACTGCCAAACTGTACTTCCAAAGCATCAGTATCTAAATGCTCTCTGGTCTTGGTCTCAGGGAGGCTTTTCCGGTTTAATCAAGCCCATCTTAGTGGAACTTTCCCAGTTCAATCCAGCAAACATTCAGCTCCTACATGGGTGGAACACTGCTCCAGGCTTGCTTATATTTGATGAATTTTGTCTTTTAGTGACTCTGAGCTCGGCACAATACCTCCCTTTTTAAGATTATGACATAGTCATCCAATTACTTGTGGAGTTGAAAATGATGGCACTGTGGCACAGTGGGTTAATGCCCTGGCCTGAAGTGCCAACATCCCATATGGGCACTGGTTCGAGACCTGGCTGCTCCACTTCTGATCCAGCTCTCTGCTATGGCCTGGGAAAGCAGTAGAAGATGACCAAGTCCTTGGGCCCCTGCACCCTTATGGGAGACCTGGAAGAAGCTTCTGGCCCTTGGCTTCGGATCAGCACAGCTCCAGCCGTCGCAGCCATTTGGGGAATGAACCAGCTGATGGAAGAACCCCCCCCCCTTCCTCTCCTCTCTCTGCATAACTCTGGCTTTCAAATAAATAAATAAATCTTAAAAAAAAAAAAATGATGTGAGCTAGCCAGGGTCACAGAGCTAATCCAGGGGCAGTGCTGGAACTAGAACCCCAGGGTGTCTAATTCCAAAGCTTAAGCCTTCTAGGAGCCCCTTTTTATATTGAAAAGGAATATGTGAAAAACATTAAAAAGTATGAAAAAATTATTAAAACCACTTACAGTCCTACCATGGAACTATCAACACTGAAATATCATTGAACTGCTCCTTATAAAACACATTGTTGCCTATCACTTCTTCTCTGAAATACTGATTTTGATGGGATTTAGTAATATTATTATAATTATATCCATAGTGACATGCCAAAGAGCAATAAGCTGCATTGAGAACACGAGTTTTAAGGGGACAAGGATTTTTCCTATTTTTTTTTTCTTTTTGAACTTTAAATATCAGATTTATTTGGAGAAAACAAAAACCCCACAACCCAAAGGATGGGATTTCCCATCTCAAGACATATCCCAGGTTTTAAGTCTAGAGATTACAAATCATTTGCATAGAAGATATTTTTGTACAAATTTTACATGTATTCAAGAGCAGGACATAAATCAATCCTGTATCTATTTTAAAAGGAGGGGAAGGTAGGGGAGTGAGAAAAAAATAGCTTTTTTTGGATCCAGCTATTTGGAAGGAGTGGAGGTGAAGAGGGCAACTATCTTCCCATTATCTACAAGCAGTGGTTTAAAAGGCCCTTTCAACCTTGGGTATCGCTCTCAAAACAAGCCCACTTCCCAGTTACCAGCCCTTCCACGCCAATTATTTCAAGGTAATTCGCTTGGTCTAGCTTTAGTGCACTGAACAAATGCTTCATTATGCCGACTGCTGCAGCGTGCCCAACCATGCAGGGCTGCTGGTTTTGCCCGCTCCTTCACTGGTGTGCGCTGAGAATGGTGCATGGCACACAGCAGGTGCCCCTGCCAGAGGTGGTGCATGAATTCCGTTCCCCACTCCATCACTATTTGCAAGCTCCTACCAAGCAGACGTTTGCAATCCCTCTGCATGCTTTAGCTTTCAGTTTGCTAATTGGGTACACTAGGGGATGGCAGCTCTTCCCACACAAGCAGGATAATGTTTTAGGTAGCATTCTGTCCCTTCAGGTTGGCATAGCAGGTCCTTGGGGTTGGAAAAATCCCTCTGAGGGTGTTTTCAGTCACCAGCCTGCTGACAGTGTCATGAGGACCCACACAGGCCCTGGCAGCTTTTGCAGGGCCCAGGAAGGCAGAGCGCATTGGAAACGTGCAGCCCGGCTCAGGAAAGTAGTGCAGGAATAAGGCACCCTGGCAGAAACCACGTTTCCATAGGGATCAGGTGGTGCCTCCGCCACCTGCTCCCCGCCCAGCTGGTGATCTCTCACATGGCCCAGGTCCCACCTCAAGGCCGGGCTTTGGGAGTCTCAGCCTTCCTGATTCAGATCTCCTCCACAGCCTCTTTGCTGGAGCTGAATTGTGGTTTCCCCAAGTTCATAGGCTGACGTCCCAGGACCTCACCAGGTAAATAGGGTCACGGCAGAGGTCATTAGACAACATGAAGTCAGGACTGTGATCTAGGCCAGGAGAGGTTTGGGGACAGACACAGAACTAAGGGAGAGCGCTCTGTGAAGACGAAGGGGGTCATCAGTGAGCCCAGGAGGCAGGCCTGGCCCGGCTCTGCCCTCACAGCCTTGAGAAGGAACCGATCGTGCCCAGAACCTCATCTTGTCCCCGGCTTGTGGCCCCCACAGCTGTGAGGCAACACATTCCTGTTCTTGAAGTCACCGGGTCTAAGATACCTTAAAACATTAAAGTTCTTAATTGTATTCATTCTCATTGTAATTGAAAGGCCGAGAGACAGAGATCTTCCCTCTGTTAGCTCACTCCTCAAAGGACCATAACAGCTGGAACTCTAGTCAGGTCTCCCATGTGGGTGGCAAGGGCCCAAAAACTGGAGCCATAACCTACTCCCTCCCGGGATGCATTACAGGAGCAGGGATGGGACTCGAATCCAGGGACTCCGATATGGGACACAGGCATCCCAAGCAGTGTCTTAACCAC